CTCTAGTAGGTAAAAAGACACTTACGACAATTGTATCGAACTGTCCTTCACGTACCAACCGGATTGCAAAGAAAAGATTACCTATCTTAAAATACGACTGACAACTTGACTGTCATTAAACACTGCTGTCGTTTTTCGGATGATCAGGTCACAGCGCCTCAGATCAGCCTAAACCCGGTCGAGACATCGTCGCCATGTGCCGTGCGATCTTCCTGGGCACTTCTCTCGATTCAAAACGACTTCCTTTTGAGCAAAGTAGCATTCTCAAGTTCGGACCAGAAAGGGGGCAAAGAATCAGTCTAGAATTATTTACGTGTTTCAGAATCATACGACTGGCGATATGATCCAATCCGGACGAGAAACATTGAGGATGTGTACAATCAGAGAGACCAATGGCAGTCGTACATCACTTAGAACACTTGATGCGTCAAAGTTCATCCGGGCTCGCCGCCTATGCAGCAGCGACATGTCCAACCGAAACTTGCAGGGTCACTTGCTTGCATTTTCTTTTTAATCGGGTTTCTATGGCATCTATTTCGTCCGGGGCTCAGGAACTAGAGACCACTTGCTTGACAGCTCAGACATTGCCAGACGGTCCAAAATCCTCACTGCCCTCCGTCACACACCTATCCAGCGGCATAGTTTCAGATTCAAGAAAGACGATGTGACATTACCCGTCCTCGAAAGTCCGTGCGCTCAAAAGTACGAGGTCAGTATGTTCAGCTTAAAGGATATGAAGACATGCGGTTCCACGAAATGCGTCCCTCAGCAAGCGTGCCTCCAAGCAAATCTGATTACAGTGGGTAAAGATGCGGACGTCACATCCAATGCTTTGACCTTGAAGTCGCACTTTATTGGTCTGTCAGACGCACGCTAAGAATGAGAGGCGTTTGAATTGTCTTTCAGGCGCTCAAAATGCCTTCCAGGCGCTCGAGATGTCTTCCAGGCGATCGAAATGTCCTCTAGGCGATCGGACGTAGGAGACGCTTGCTCGTTCCTTCACGGTGCAAACCTCAACAACGAACGTTCTGAAAAACGAGTACTCAAACTGCAGCAAGTTATGCCGAGAATCTGGCGGCTCAGAGGACTTGCGGCTATGGGTGGCTGCTATAAATTGCCACCCTTACTGGGCTCCTCCTTGCCGAGACTCCGAAAGTCTTGTTACCTTGTCCAACCAGCGTGAAAGATAGAACCGAAGCTGGGGACACTTACAATAGCACAGGATCATCGTGCGGTGTTCATTAAACAGTCACGACAGGTGGCAAGAACAAGCACGTGGGCAGTCTACGTGCGAGCAATCATTTCTCCGGCCGCAGGGACCCCATATCTGCCGCAGAGGGCGCCTGCAGCAGATATGGGCCCAACGCGCTTGCTTCTAAATGGTTTGCCGTTGCCAGCTGTCCAGCTTCGATGCTTTAGTTAGGGAGGAACAGAGGGCCATCAGATTTTCACCTATCTCGAACCGATTTGAAACTGTAGGACGAGTAGAGAGCTTGACAGGAAGCACTATCAGATAAAGACCCTGAAATAACGACTTGATAGAAACCTTGAAGGGCGACGAACGAGAAGGAGACTCGATGGACAAGGGAATAGATACAGGGCGCCTTGGCCTCAAACAGGAGGCGGAACGGGGCCGGACCGGAGCATTCCGTTCCGGAAAAATGGCGGACGAACCGGGGCCTGACCCCAGGTTGGAGGCCGGTTCGGGGGAAAGAAGAACCGTTTCTTGCAGATTGGAGCGGTTTCCCACGAGCCGGTTCTTGTTCTGAGCAAAGCGGCCTCAAACCGAGGTCTGGCTCCGGTTTAACCGCCACGTTTTCGGAGCGGAATGCTCCGATTTGGCCCCGGTGCGGCTCGTGTTTGAAGCCAAAGCTTTAGTCCTCTCGCAACCAAACGCTCTGCTTAGATCGAAGTGCGAAGCGAAGGGTGCCCACAGTATGAGCTTCAAAAGCTAGAAGAGCTACGACATAAAAAGCCAAAAACCATCGTATGAAGAGCGCGGATATAAGCAAACGGGGTGCGTGGCGGCGAAATTTCAACAGCTGTGCCGTCACTTGATTCTACCTGCTATAGTCGCTCGAGATTAGCAAGAGGTGATCCACAGTTTAGGACTTGCAAACTCAGCAGACGAGACACTGAAGACAATGCGCACGTTTCGCGGCATTCTTTTGAGGCAGCGGAACAGCCGCCGTAATCGGTTTATCGAGGCCTCTGTGAGGCTCACGTCGGCCAGTAGCTCGAAGCAGTCGTCATTCCTCCGGAGGTCGAGGAGAAAGAGGCCGCTCAAGGAGAGACGTCCTGCAGCGCTCCACTGAAGACTTCAGGGTAGGTGCAAGCAGAAGAGTAAACTTCCGAACGAGGTCGTCACCTTACGGTGGTACGAATCTTGAGCCCCGCATTATGATGCTTATTTGCATCTTGGATTGGCACTGGCACATCGATTGGCGCTTTCCTTGCATGCTGGGACTGCCCGGTTTCGGGAAACTTGCCATTGTGCTGAAAAGGCTTTGCATGATCGAGATTCTCCAATTATTGCTTTCACTCCCAAATGCAACTCCGAGGGGCACTCGCATCAAGCAACTTCAAAGACACCGTTACATTTTACAACGCTGTTTAGGAGTTGCAGACATAACGGATACACTACAGTTGGACTCCATTACCCGGCCACTAAAGTACGCGACTTTACGAGCCTAGTACCAAAAAGATAGACGCTGCCAAAGAAACACATACCTTTAAAATTGTCTCCTATCGTAGATCAAGCATACAGTGGCGCAGCTTGGTTCTGATAGTCATGAACGGATTGGATCTTATCAGGACTTCCCTTGACAAGATTGCCTGGCACTATTTAGGTCGAAATTTTCATTGCCCTTCGTATTCCGCAGGCCCGAACATTAAAGCGGGCGTAATTAAGAAGGAAAGAGGTCAACAGGGCGTTCTCGCACAAGACCAAGTTACCTTTCTAAAGACCTGCGCAGAAAATTTGAACGTCGGGCGAACTGATCCTGGGAGGCTCCAAACGTGTTCTACACTGACGGCGTCGTCAGACGTGCACAGCATTCATTGCCACCGTGGTTCGACGTCAGCAATATTCTCACAGGAATCTTGCAACGGCCTAAAGTTGATCATCTAGGAACATGGAAATGGACAACCTAAAATGCGTACATATGGTGATTCCGCTTGAAACGTACACTCAAGGCCCGCGACCGACTTCCGGCCGGACTCCGCTCCTTGAATCCTCAAAAAAACAAATGCATGACAAGTTTGCACCACAAGACAATACGAACACTGAGCATCTGAAGGACCAATCATCTACGAAGCCTACATATTCGGCACTTTACCTCCTCTGGAAAAGTCAGGGAATGAGCTGCGCAGCTTTCGGAGTCCTCAAATCAAGGACTTCCGGACATGAGACGAGGTAAAGTACCGTTGATGAGGGGAAGCTCAAAGTCGTTTTAGACTCATCGTTGTATTGAAGTCAAGGCCATCCTTTACGGCAGGGCATGCCAGGCAACGTTACCTATCTGCTCATCGCCAGCCGGTGCGCTGCGGCTCACAGTGCCATCCAGCCAAAACAAGTTTGCATCCTTATTGTGAACTGGTAGTTCTCTGGCGGGTGCACGAACCTCAAAACGACACTTATGCTCGAGGCGGCTCGTAGGTAACCTCGGCTGACTGGCAGTGTTGCCAGCACATTCTAGTCACTGCCTGGCCTTTGGTTGTTGAAAAGTCTTACGACGAGCTCGGGACCAACAGAAAAAGCAGAAGACATCTTCCAGACTTCGTGAGCCCGAAACACAGCTCTGAGATGCCCGCAGCTAACAAGCAGAATTGAGCAGTCAGCATAAAGCCAGTGATAACTTAATGCAAAACAAATTTCCTGTCCCAATGTCCTCAATGCCCGGACAAATCTTGTAAGCTGGCTTTCTGTAGACGAACCCGATGCGATCAGAATGCCACGACCTTCACTCTGAGCAAGTCAGCCCAGTTGCAGAAACATCATTCGCACTTCCGGTGTCTTTATTTCGCTTCCGAGCCTGTTACAGGATGCACAGCTCACGAAAAGAAGCCACCAGAAGCATCCTCTACAATATGCACTTGATTGATTGTAGTCTTTGTAATCATCTGTAAACAAGGTGATCTTTCTGATAGCTTGTTTTCAGAACATGAGTTGGCAGGTCATCTAACGCTTGCCTCGTCCGGCCTGGCCAGCTGCCAAAAGGCTTGCTAAGTTGCCAAAAACAGAAAATAATAATCAAAAAAACAAAACAAAACAAAACAAGAAAACAACATGAAGGGACCGTGAGCACATTGTGCGCATATGCGACACCTAACGGCGGAGACGGCATGAGTAGAACCTCCTTTCAATGGCCCGTGTGCATCAAACACTACCGTCACGTATCCCGTACATAGCAATCAAAAGTAAAATAAAAGATTCAATGAATGTAACAACAATACTGGGGAAAATGCGTAAACCTCTGGTCGGGAGGTTACGCTGAGCCGTAGTGTTCGAAACCAGAGGGCTTGTCACCGAGGTGCCAGCATTCGGCCCGACTCACTTGAAGAAAGGAGTCGACCAGCTCAATCAAGTTACGAATCAAAGCTGAGCCTACGCTGCAGCGCGCGAGGACGGTTGCGCGATCCCTTTCATCGACCACAGCTCGTCACTTAGGCTGAAACAGGCAGGCCGGAACAGCAAGCAGCTAGCACGCGCCCTACCTTCGCTGAAGCAGAGCGCATCATTTGGACAGACGGTCGGAGCTCGCCGGTGCCACGCTTGACCCTCTCAACGAGGACCATTGAGCGAAGGGCTCATCATAGTCTGTTCGGTCCGATCAGCAAAAGAGTGGAACAGCAAAATCAATGAAAGATTGAATCACGATTTTAGCTCCGAGACGGCTGCAGAGTTGAAGCACTCATAGCTGCACAAATGCTCAGTGAGTCCTGATCTTACGATTGCATTGCCCCAAAAACGAATCGCAAATGCACATCATCGTATGGACAGCCAGGCAGATCGGCGGGCTTTCACAAGAACTCCTCTGATAAGAAGTCAACCAAGTCGGGCTTCGTTGTCCGCAACCACTCAGAATTAAAGCTTCATCAGCGCCGTTTAACAGACCCCGTTCGCTCAGGTCGACAGACAGTCGCTAAACCCTCGCTGGCTTTCAAAGAAGCACTTTACAAGCTTGATCCAAAGTAACGTACCCAGCCACAGCTTTCTGGCGCCAACACTTTGCATAACAGTCTCGCTCTCTCTCGTACTCTACTATACAGGACAATTCTAGGAACAATCTCACCACGACCCTCCTAGCCACCGACTACGCAAACGGAGGCGGGTCGTCTTCATCCTCTTCTTCTTCGTCGCCCCCCGCCAGCCCCTCCGGTTCGTCTTCCATACTATTTGCCGCCTGTTCCCTCAGCACTAGCGCCTTTTCAGCTGCGGCAACCACTCCCGCCGCGCCACCTGTCACCGTTTCCCTGGTCACCCCCTCAAAGCCCAACACCGGCGCAGCGCTTTTCAGGGTTTGCGCGCCGGACCCCCCCTGACTAGTTGCGTTCTTCCGGCGCTGCGCTTGCAACCGTCTCTGTAGCGCATCGTCTATGTACTTATCCTGGTTCTGCACGGGTTTCAAAATCAGTGGACTCGCTGCCGGCACGGAACCGCCGTCGGGCGCCATTCCCAAATCATTCGACCTCGTCCCGTCAGATTCTGCCACGTGGAAAGCGAGGGGATCCCCCGCCTCGGCCCGCTGCTTCGCCTGTTGCGCTCTCAGGATCTCCCGTGCTGCACGCATGCCCTGCATCTGGACGCTCACGATCGTGCCACGTGGCTTGCTCTGATTCGCTGCCTTGGCGAGGCCCCTGCCGGCGCCTTGGAGGATGATGCGGGGCGCGGGGGACATGCCGGCGCGGCGCGCGTACGGGGGGCGCACCGGGGGCGTGACATATGCCTCGTTGTGCTTGGTTTGGCACTCGATGTGGTTCTTCCCTGGTACCTGCAAGAAGAGACAAGTCGGTCAGTAAAATCGGATAAACACGAAACGTAAGGCACTTAGCAAGCAGGCGCTATGAGATTGCCGACTACTTTCAATACCGGTTCGCTTGGGCGGTTGACACCGTGAGTTGGGACCATACACCTCTCTTGCAAATATGTGGGCGCATGATCACTTAGGCTATCATGAGACTCGGAGAGCGTCCGGTTCACTGACTAAGATGTCAGGTGTCCATCTCCTCGAGGTCTTTCGGACGTCTTTATAGGATAAAGAGTGGCGGAAAGAGAAGAACCAGCAGACACCATCCTCGTGTCGGCCACACTCAACAAAGCTTTTGACTTCTGCTCGGATTTGTAACGTACAAAAGCATGGCAAAGAGCCCGCGAATGGTGAAGGATGTCCTGACAGCTTTCTGCTGGCTTACCGCAGCGGTCAACTTAAGGCCACGTAACCAGAAGTAGGCTCAAGGGGCACATTAGGAACCAATCATCCCCACTTCGTCTTTCACGCTCCTTTGCGTGAAATTGAGCACGATAAAGGAAAAGAGACCCTGGCGAAACCTCTAATGGCAGCCTACGATTTTAAGGCATCATAGGAACACATTACATCACCCGTATGCAGTAGCTCAGAGCTACTAAAGGAGCTGCGGTGGCAGACTCGCCAGCGCCGTCCAACTCATCAGTGCCAGGACAAAGCACCGTCCAAGGAGGCGGACCACACAAGCTAAAACTTTGGACAACCCTTCCAAACCTTTTCTCGAAACAAGCAGAGGAGAGCAGGGAGAAAACAGAGGATGGGAACTTCTGAGCTTATTATGGGCGCTCGTGGTGAATGGCATGGCAGCGGGTATTGTAATTTGTGAGTGTCCTTACTGAACAATAATGCAACGAGCCTAAACTTGAGATGCAACGAGCCTACACTTGAGAAGTCCATACCGTCTGAGCTGCAATTGCACTTTGTTGACAAGGAAAGAGCGGATCGCAAGTTACCAGTGAAACAAAGGTGCTCGCTTGATGATATTTGGAACACGCGAAAGGCAGTCTCGACCACAAGCTTTTTGAGCGGACGTCGGGACCGCTGGTACTCCCAGTGACAAATCTGTCAGCAAACGGTGACTCGTCATCGTTCTCTTGCGCACATACTATTTAAGATTTCTGCTTAGCACCATAAGCAGAATACGAGTTGGCGTTGCCTTGGCAAAACCTACGGCGTCTCGGGCCTTCAAAGCACAAGCGGCTCAAGGAAGCAGAACTGGGACAGTAACCTCGAAGGGGATGGACAGTAGAAGGTTGTCCAGAATCGGCATGCACAAGTAGACTTTTTCAATCTGCTTACCCTTTGGTAGCAAGTAAACTGAATTCCGCAAACTGTGGTACATATGTCCATGTCGCAAGGAATGGACAGGACGACTCGACTGTCAGCAACGCGGTTGGCAGCATTGCCAGACACGATTGGCTCTTCATAATCGCCTTGAAATGACCAGGTGAAATAGCGAAACTTCGTAGCAGCGGTGTGAGTGACGGATACAAAGAACACAGCAGTCTATGATGAAAAGAGCACGACCCTGAACCAGAAAGTGCGCCCCGAATCCGAGACAACTTAATGCAACTTCAAAAACGACGATAGACCTCGTTGCATTACACGAGCAACAGTGTAATGCACCTGCGAGGGCCACCTGACCAGCTGCTCCAACAAGCTGACTTCCTTTGAAGCATTCCCTGGAGGTTATTAACTCACGTGTTGTGGGAATGGTACGCAACTCTACCCGCGGCAACATGCATGTTGAACTTTTGGACAAAACAAAGCATTGGGTAGATTTGAAGTGCAAGGGACTAATCATAAGGAGGCTGCCAATAGACGTGAGGTTCAGATGTCCCAAACAGAGCTCGTGTGTTGCAAGGACAGAGCGCTGCCAGATTTAGCCGCCATCAGTACAGGGACGTTCTTCTTTCATTTTTGAGGTACTTTGGCGCAACATTGCCGTGACCGCTCGTTAACAGACCGTGATGCAAACCTTATTTGCAACCCCAGTCTAAACATTTTGCAAGGTCACATCTATAGAAGTCTTGATAATGTCATGCTTCGAAGGGTGCGCCTCAAAGATGCTCTAGGATGCTCATAGCCAACTGGCTCATCTTTTTGGCACCAGTGATAGCTATGTCATTTTCGCCGGGACTATCGTTGCTATCAATCCGATTGACACCCTGTCAGAGAAGTCCTTGCCCTAAAGAAGAGACAGGTGCTTTCGCAGGCAAAGTATCACGACAATAAACTGTGCTGCAGTGAAGAAAGAACCCCAGAAATGCAGTAAGATGATCTGAAAGAGGCCTTCGACACCGCTGAATAACTACGTGTAAGCTGGCCACCAGGGATCATAGCCACCTCACCAGAAGTTTCTGGACACTCTTTCAGAGAGCGTCGCTCTTGGTCGACCTAACTAATCGAGCCGTTCGAGAAATGATTTGATGCCTATTTCGTGAAGAAAAAGGACTCCGATCGACCGCGACCATCGTTGAATATATGACATACTGCTTTCCCGCTCCCTTAAAGGTGTGAATAGTTCTAGGTCTATGTTTCGAATGTGATAATATGGGGCTACGTATTGAATGTATCCATGGATCCGCAAGAAAGCCGTACATTTGGTAGGCAATGCTTGCGGTCGGCTCAGGTCGCCGATCACGTGGCAATCCTGCCAGACCAATGTAACCCTTCACAGCCATTCGAAACGGATTTCGATGAGCAGATAGATCTGGTCCAAGGCATTGAGGATCGGTGTATCTGGAGCCCAGAGTATCAAATGAAAAGCGCCTAGCTAAGTTAATCCTCAAAGCTGCTTTAGCGCTTACAAGGAGAACGATTCACCAAACAAGGGAGGCTTTCGACGAGGCTCAGGCTGCCCGAAAGCGTAATTGACGACTGTGTCAATAGCCTGGGCCATCATTGCTTTCCTGGTCAGAGAAAAGACATGGAAAGGAACAGTGGTCGAGAGAAAAGACAAAGCTTCCTTGAGATCTGACAAAAGCATGATTGTCTGCAGCGAAACTGTGAGTATCTAGTATATTCCACAATTATAGCGAGATGGGTTGTGGAGACCTACAAGCTTGCTGCCTTTTACATCAAGACGCCCGTGATTCCTCTTGAATTGCGCATCGCCAGACTGCCACTGAGAAGCAGAGCAGAGCTTTGCTTCCACGTCTCGACGTCGAGCACTTTGTCAAACGGCTTCAAGAATAGAGGTCTGACTTACAACTTTGCACGTGTCCCGAGCGTTGACTGGCAATGAGGCACGATAAAAGGGAAACGCTCTGCGACAAACCAGCGGCTCGGATGCGCAAGAGCCTAATTGGCCAGCTTGCCGTCTATGTTGGGCTGATCGTTGCCACAAAAGAATGGGGTCGCCAACAGCCAAGCACGTCAAGCCTGGCGAATACACGCATCTGATTGTCACCCTCCGCAAACCCAAAGAAAGCCGAAACATTCCAAATAACCGAAACGGCCGTTTTGGGCGCCAGCTCGTTCGCGACTTTGCGCACGTAAAGAAGTGGGTCTGACGAGCAACAGTCAACTTCAGTTTGCCCATTCAGGTCTGAATGCCCGCCACTAACGGCTGATCAAGAACCTTCGAGGCAAGAAAAGTAAGGGTTGACTGATCAGCAGAGACTGATTGTTCCGGCTTCGCTTGCTTCTCAAACTTTCAATGGAACATTACGAAGTGTGGCCGTGTTGCAAGCTCAGCCAGAAGTACCACCTACAACGCTCTTCCTTTCGCAACTGGCGACGCACTATCTGGCACATTACTGCAGGATCGGCTCCGAATATGAGACAAATCTGAAGCGGCAGTCGGACAGAAAAGCAACTGCAATCTCAGAATGCCATGCAGATAGACGCATGAGTTGCCTTGAAAGCGAGCCCAGGCCACAAGGGCAACCAGCGCACCTTCAAGAGCGACCAGAAGGACATAGGACTTTCAGATAAGCAACCGCACAATCCAAACTCCCTTCAACGAAACTTTGGTGAGACTTTTGTACCGACCTTTGCTTTGCAATTCTGGAGACCGTATTGAAAACCAAAGAGCTTTGGCCAGCACCAAAGGAATCACTGGGCGCAAGGCACATCATACAAGGAAGACAAATACAAATCTGGGAGGAATTCAATCGGCTCGGAGCGATACCAACACAAGACTGGCCAGCTTGCCAGCCTGTTGGGGCTCATCTTTGCCGGCAAAAAGTACAATACACGAACGTCAGTGGCTAAGTAGGCTTCTGAGATGCCCAAGTTCCAATCTGAGCAGAAGCGAGAACACGGCGGCAGTATTTTCACCATAAGAGAGAGTTCGGAAATGAAGCAAGCCGTCTTATCAGCGGGGTGGCACGCCCGTTATGAGCTTCTGCAACAGCAGCTTTAAGAGCGACTCAGAGATGGGAAAGAAGTGGGTCTGACAAGGGAGTGTCAGCTTCATCCTGCTCGTCAAGGTCTCTATGCTTGCCATGAATCATTGAGGGGAGCACAATATGATTTTGGACAGTCGCGTCTTCAGTAGAAGGTGAAAGTTGGCGTCGGCACTTATATCAATTGAGTACAAGCTTTTGATCGGTTGTTACGAAGTGTCCCCGTGTTTCAAGCTCAGCGGGCCAGAAACGCACCCACGGTGCGCTGTCTCTCGGCAACACGATAATAAACACTTGGACAAATCTTTGCCGTAAGTCCATGCCGAGCTGAGAAGGGTCGAAAACGGCAATCAAACAGATAAGACACGCAGCCTCAATAAAAGATGTAAACAAGCGCATTATGTTTTCTGAGGAATCAAAGGCACAACGACAGCCAGCGCAGCTTCGAGAGCAACCAAGTGCAGGCAGTATTTTCAGATAAGCAATCGCTTCATCTTAGGGTCCCTCTCATCTTTTATCGCAAGGGACACATGTTTGGTGGATTTTTGCATCGCCCTTTGTCTTGCAACTCCTGATACCGCTATGAACCGAACTCCCTATTGAGACCTTTGCGCACGACCAAAGCAACCCCTGGCAGCATGGCACTTTCCCAAGCAATGTCGGAAATCAACCGGCTCGGAGCGATGCAACGACGATTGGACAGCTTGCCAGACTTTTCAAGGCTCATCATTGCCAGCGGAAAGAGTACAGACGCCACTGGTTGAAGTAGATTCATGATGCAAGGTTTTCAGGTGTGAGCAGAACGGAAGGCAGCAACAGCGTTTAGCACAAGGACAAATACGAGCACGCAGCGAGAGTCCAACCAGTGTGGTGCAAGCTCGATACGAGCCGTTGGGCACCAGGTTTTACGAACAAGTTAGAACAACGTTAGATTGTGGGCGTGACACAGAAGTGTCCGCTCCGGACCGCTCATAAAGGTCTGTCTGCTGGCCACTAATTGCTTATCAGGATAAGCGAGGGGGAGCGCATTACACTTGGAAGTGTGCGCCAAGACGGGTGACTGTTCGAGATCAGCGGTGTAAGCATGCAAGAAGTCTTGAAAAGTTGCCGTAGTCTGAGCTCAGGGGGCCAAAAGCGCCACCCACGCCGCTCTGTTTCTCGGCCAACCGAGAAGTGACAGTCTGATATATGTCCAAAGCAACTCCTCTTGACAACGGACGGGTCGAAAACGGGCAATGGACGAAGAAGCAACGCTGCTTCAGGATTCTCGTGCGTACAAACGGCGTTTGTTTCTTGTGATTTGGCTCAGACATCAGGCAATGGTCATGACATAATCGTCAAAAAGTCCGGGCTTCATGGCCGTCCTCCCCCGTGTTCTGCAGGCAGCGTAAGAGCTGTACTATACAATACTCAGTCGGACCAAAAGACACCGGATTGAGCAGACATCACCGGACATTCCCTGGACTGCTTCTGCAGCGCTTCTACGTATCGTGGAGTGCAATCGTATCACCGCTTTGAATGTTACATCAGTCGAAAGCAGGTCGGCACTCGTGCGTACAGGTCGACATACAGAACGACAGGACGGATTTGGAAACGAAGAGATCTGAAACTGGTAGGAGATCTCCATAAAATGAGAGCCCATGCAAATCTGTCACAAAGGTCGTGCCACCAGCCTGAATCACAAGGAGCCAATTCGCACCTACTTCGAAGATGGCACTTCACCTGCCGACATGACCCAAGCGCCCATTCTCACCTGCCTCGCTACCTTGTACCACAGCCCGTCCACAGTCGGGTCGATCATCAGCAGCGCACTTTTTAGCGCCGCCACCTGGCTCGCAGTCCACCCGGTTGCATCCACCGGCTCGTCCTCAGTAGCGGTGTGAACAGGCCCCGCACCGTCGGTGTGAACGAGTCCGGCAACACCAGTGGCCGAAGGCTCCGCAGCGATGGTGGGAATAGGCTCCACTCCTTTTGCAATTGCTGGTTGTGGGGTCCGACTCGGGACATTGTCAGTGGGAAGGGCCTCCAAACCGCTGGTGTGAACGGGCCCCTCCTTTTCCTTGTGACTGGGGCCTTTGCCGCTGACGCCACCCACTTCCGCATCGACGGTGTGAACAAGCCCCGCCACAACTGTGCCCTCATTGCCCACGCCAACGTCTGCCACGTGTCCCTGCTGCTCTTCTAACACGTGGCCTTGCCGAGCGTCTGCCACAGAGCCTTTTGGCGTCGTCCCCTCCTGTTCCGCACCTGACTCCGCCCTCGCTTCCTCTGGAATCGGCACGAGTGACGCTTCTTCCTCATGCTGTTCCCCAGTGCTCGGAGCCCCATCCTTTGCAGACACACTCGCAAAAGTGTTTTCCGCTGCCCCCATGCCAAGCTGTTCAGCCGCCTCATCTGCCCCCAAGTCACTCTCATTTGGTGCTTTCCCCTTCTCCCTTGCTTTCTCCTTCTCCACCGACCCCTTCTCGGTATCTTCCGCAGTCAATCCCACCCCAAGCGCGGTCGCAGCTTCCTCGTCCAACTCAGCACCCGTTCCTTCCACAGGCGCTTCCACACCCGCTGCCTCATCTCCTCTCTCTTCTCCGGTTTCAAGTACTTCCTCCGCCGTTTCCTCCACGTTTACGCCGTTGCCGGGTTTCGCATCGCCGATTGGTTCCTCTCTCCCCTTCTCAGGGTCCTCAAACCCAGTGGTAACCGTTTGGTCTTTCCTCAGGGCATCGATAGCCTCAGATGGATTCGACCCATTCCTTGTACCGCTTTTTTCCTCCGTCCCCACTGCTTTCGCTTCATTCTCAACCGACGCTCCCCCTTCCGACGCTCCCCTTTCCAACTCGCCCTTCTTCCGCAGCCGCCTTCTAGGGTACCGCCCCTCTGTCGGTCCCGTAGCCTCTGCCCCGCTGATGACGCCACCCTCCTTGACCGTTCCCTTCTTGCTGACGTCATCGCCTTCCAGAGCGCTGTCTCCGTTTGGCCCCCTCTCATCCGCGCTCGATTTGCTCCTCGTTGCTTTCCTGCCGCCCCCCCTGACCGCCGTTTTCGACTTCGAGGAGCCGCTTTTTGCCTCGCTCCCCTTCTTGAGCTTCTTCCTCTTCGTCTCCGTGCTTTCGTCTTCCGCTGTTCCGCTCTTGTCCTCTACCAACAGTTCGTCGATCCGCCTTTCCTTCTTTTGTCGCCGGAGGTCCTCAACCGGGCCCTGTAACTTTCCGTCCCGCTTGTTTACCCGCTTCAAATCATCACCCAAACCCGCAACAGGGCCCGCTTCTTTCCCACGCTTCAACCGACTCCCTCCTTCCCAAATCTTTTTCCCCGTATCCTCTTGAACGCTTCCTTGGCCTCTACTTCGCAACCGCCTGTCCACTCTGCCCCCATCCTTTGGGACATCCACGCCAGACTTCTGCTCTTCGCTCTCGCCTCCTTTGCTCCCTCCAATATCAGTTGCGTGATTCTCAGGCCCCCCATTCTCCCTAGTTCCTCCAACCCCTTCTGCCGCCGGCCCTTCCGTTCCTTCCTCGTCCCTTTTATTCTGCCCACCTTCGTTCTCGGCTCCGTTTGCTCCTTCTTCGACCTCAGCTGTATCAGCCACGAAACCATCCCCCACAAAGTTGGCAGCACGGGGCCCCTTCTGCACCTTGTGCTGGCGGTTGAGCCGCCACAGCTGATCCGACGACTTACGACGGCCGGAAGGATCGGACGGCTGCGAACCGCTGACAGATCCGGACGGCTTCGGACCGCCCACAGAACCAGAGAGCTCCGAAGCCTTGTTGTTTTCGCCTTTTGCGGCCCCTTTCCGCTTCTTCGACGGGTGACTCTCCTCTTTCCCGCTGCCGGACGGATCAGTCTTCGTTTCCCCCTTTTTTACTCTCTCCTGCGTTTTTGTTTCTTCTCCCTCCATCCGCTTTCTCTTATTCCTGGTGGAGACCCACCGTCCCGGTGACCCAACCGGAGACTTCTGTCCTCTATCCCCACCCTCCTTTTTTACCACAGTTTCCGCCCCCCCCAGACCCTTCATTCCGCCAGCCCCCTTCCGCTTCTGCCCCCGATCCTGCGGCGTGCTGACGTCATCTTCCACTTTGACCTTCCGCTTGCTGTGTGTCGCTTCCTTGCTAGCACCGAGCTTCTGCTTCCGCTCAGCGCTGTCCGCCGCTGACCCTGTGTTCTCCGACTTGACGACCGGCTCGAGCTTGGGCGAGAAGGGTTTGGGGTTTTGGGGCTTCTTGGATGGAGTTGTGTACTCGGGTGGCCGGGAGATGCCAACGATCCGCCCAGCCTGAACCAGACAGAATATCTCGTTGACGCTGATCAAATCTGCAACTTTTCTGCATCTTTGTTGCTCCGCCTCCTCTGGTTTCGCAACAGCATCAATCCGGACGTTTGCGGCCTGCCTTTTGGCATGTCTTCTGTTCAAGTGAGGATTTCTAATTTTCGAAACTCAGCAACGTGACAGGCCAATAGCCAGGGGAGCTTGGTTGCTTTGACAGGTTTCATGTGTGCAACATTATCCAGAAGGCCGTTCTTTAGTACCCACATTCGGAACAGCAGACACTTTGCAAAAGGTTACGCAGTACAAGCAAAGATGCAAAACCAAAGCATGCTACCCAAGATAAGGGTATTCAAGGGGTTGCAAGACTTCCTCAGACAAAGGCAGCACAACCTATCTTTGGAAGGTAAGAAGGTGTTCGAGCCAGTAACCTTTCGAAGTTTCTCCGCAAAGTCTGTGCCAGTCCTCGAATTTCGAGTACAGAGCCTGGAAAGTATGTCATCGACAAGCTTGGAGATACAAGATTGCCCGGTTTGAGTCGCCCCTTCTCTGGCGCCTATGCTTCCTCTTGACTTACGCAAACCATTCCTGGAACAGCTCAAAACCTCCACCCAAGTAAGGATGTGATGGTGCCGTTGCCACCTTACCTGACCATGGAATTGTCGCCTTCCATTTGCAGCTTCTTGCAATGACCAATTCAGAATACCCGAAACCAGGAGTTCCAACTTCAACTCGCGATATAATGAGTGCGGAATGCCCCCTTACGTGATCCCTGTCGTAGTACTCGTTCTCCCAGAAGGCCAGCTTGGGCTTCACTAGCCGCCCCCACCTGCTGACCTGCGCAGCCTCTGGGAGTTTGACGGCACGCGTGATGATGACCTCGTCCTCGGGACCCTTGAGGCGGCTCTCGAGTTCGCGCAGCATCTGCACAGCAAGCAAAATTTTAGGGGCCAACGGGACGCAGAATTGAAGTGGTCACTGATGATGGAGGTGTTTCAGCACGATGAAGCACACAAAACGTTCATATCGAGAGGAACTTCCGGCTGCAAGGTACGGACTTTAGGTGGTCCGGAACAGTTTGACGAGATAGGTTAGATCGACCCTACATAAAGCCTTCAACTCACCCTGCTGCGCTTCTTGGATTCAGACATCCGCTTCGCATCCCCTTCCTCTTTTGGCACGACGCCAGCACCAGTGGGCCCCTCTTCCATACTCTTCTCGCCCTTTTCTTCTCCTGCCCCTACTCTACCCCCATGCTCGGCTTCCTTCTCTACAGTCTTCTCTACGTCCTCCTCTGACAGCTTCCTCCGCTTCGCAAGTCTTTCCTCCCTATCCGCAGATCTTGGATTTACCGCCAGCGACCCCGTTGCCGCAAATTTCCCATTCCTATCGCGTGGTTGCGGGGACTGGGGACTGGCGGTCTCCGTACGTTTCATGGTTTTAAGAGGCTTCTGAGTAGATCCAGGAGAGAGGCTCTTTGTACTGGGCTTTGGAGTCGCCACTTCCTTCGCCTTTGGTTCCGCAATCAAGGGACTTACACCCACACCGGCTTGGACACCCCTCGAGCTCCTCCGAACACTGTTCGTACGCTCGGCCGAGCCCACTGCCACTGGCCCTTCTTGCAAGCCCACTTCTTTCCCTGAATGTGCTTCCGGGGTCTTTCCAGCGCTGTTTCGGACACCCTTCAACCTCTTGCCGCTGTTCCGGGGGGTCCTTGGCAGCACCGCCCCTCCACTGTTCACTTCTGCCGCCTCATCCCCCCCGCCGTTTAGACCGTCTCTGTTCGGCCGATCGCTCTCCGTCCGCTCACTATCATCCTTACCCCCGTCGTCATTCCGGTTTCCTCTACCGACCTCCCCTTCAGCTTCTCCGTTCTTCTCTTCCGCAACTCCTCCCCCTGCTGGAAGCTTTGGCATCACCCCCCCGCCAAGGGCCCCCTCAGCAACAGGCCCGGGGGGCTCGTCCTCTGGGGGGGGGACATCCAGGCTGAACGCAGGGTCATCTTCATCCCCCTCGTCTTCTAGAAAAGCGCTCAGACCCCTTGCCTGCGGTCTCCCTGACGAACCCCGGAGAGTCCTCCCAGTGCTTCCAGGGATCCCGGTTTCCTGCACCGGTGTGACCTGCTTCTCATGGGTTTGGGGGGTCTTTTCTGCCCTGGCTTGTAGGGGAGTCTTTGCAGGGCTTTGGGCAGCCTTCAACCGTGATCTTGTGAAGGGCGTGGCGCCAGCAGTGGTGTTGTCCGGGGTAGAAAATGCGTCGTGGTCCGAGACATCGGACGTCCCGCCCCTGGTGTCAGACGCCGCTCCCTTCTTCAGCTCGGAGTGGCTCCTCAGGACACTGCCAGGTTGCAGGCTGACAGGCGTCTGGAAGCCCGGGTTTAGAATTGGGCTCTTGCCTGGAACTACAGGAGACACAGTGGGTACTGATTCTGAAAGGTTCAGCTCCACCTCCTTTGCCTCATGCGCGACCTCTGGGAGCGGGCCCTCCTCTGCTGGTGCTTTGCTCCCAGACGCCCCGTCGCTTCTAGAACCGGCTCCCACGCCCCCCTGGTTGGCCGGCAATGCCAGACCCGTTTCTCGAACCCCGCTGCCGCTTGCTGTAGGCGAAACTGCTGCAGGCGTCTCCGCAACCCCGTTTGCGCTTTCGCTTTCATTCATCCCCTGAGCCCTCGGGCTTGACCTCATCTCGCGCTGCCTGGAAGAATCAGCGTCTCCTTTTCCTTCGTATATGTGGGAAGCAGGCGGAGCCCCGCGGTCTGGTTGAGCAAAGGTCGCCTGGCGTTGAACCTCTTGTTTCAGCGCATGCCTGGGGCTCTCCCTTGGGGGCGGCATCAGGCGGGAAGCATCTGACCCCCCGCTGCGCTGTGGATGGGAGAAGCCCTCGTGCTGTGGACCAGGAGGGGCATAAAAGTGGGGCGGGCTGTGAGCGTGCTCTCGAAGGACCTGGGAATCATCAGAAGGATAGTCAGACCATGCACCTGTTTCTTTATGAGGTGATGAGATGTAAAGGACCCGCTTTTGTTCTCCTCTTGTGCAAGACCCGAACGAAGGGTACAGAACGTGAAGGTGACCATATTTGGTGTGATTTGAGAGGGAAACCAAGACTGCTCTAACGTCAACAGGAACCGGCTTTCAAAGTCAGTGTATTTTGTTGTGCAAGCAGATGGAGGGTGCTCTTGCAGGTAAACACTGCCTACAAGAAAAGGGTAGAAGAGGAGGTTGCACGAAAAACTGTCTTCGGAGAGTGGTCTTACACAAGCCTTTCAACATGCCTACAATGAAATATTTCTCGAAGGGGCTCTCCATCAGAAGACAATGTTGAAGCATGCTGCTACAGAGAGTGGTTTTACCTTGTGAAATTGATGTGCAATTTTTTCATACATACATTTGGAATAGGTGAATGTTCTGAATCATCTGTATTCTCATATCAGCAGATAGGGCTTTGCATTCTTTCAAGGACATTTTGCATAACCTCCTGACTTCTGCCTTGGATTAGTTGAAAACCTTTTGAAAGTCACCGATGAGTCATGCACAACCAAAGCTCTTGACCAGAAGCAAATGCAGGGGAAACAAAATGGTAAATTGCATGAAAGCAAACCACTCACTCGAGGGGCAGGGCTCTGCCTGACCAAGGCGTCAAAGTTGGCGCTGATCTGATGTCCCACGCTGCTCGCCCATGCAGCAACACCAAATGGCGTCGGGGATGGCTGTGGTACAAAGCGTCCATATGGAGCTGGCCTAATGATTGCACTACTGTCAGCGACTGGTGCAACTTTTCCTGGAGCTAACGAATGCTGCGAGACAGTGCCTGGGGCAATCAGTGCCTGGTTCCACTCTGGAGCCGACCCAGACAGAGTTGCTGCCCTGCTGTTGACTGCAGCAGGATTGATCTCCAAGCCACTCTTTCCATATTGCTGTACCCTTTGCTCGAATCCTCCTCGCAGGTCTTCAACCTTTTCACTCGAGGGAGCAGTCTGGTGCAGGCTCGTCTGCTGTTCATGCTCCCCATCTCCAGACTGCGCTCCCTGCCTGAAAATTGCTCCCGATCTCACAGGGTCTGTCTGCGGCTTGTGCGTGAACTTCAGGCTGGCTTTCAGCTGCGGGGAGGGCGAGTAAGACTTCTGCCGCTCCATGATTGTGCTCTCCTTCGAGTTGCTGACCTCCGCAGACGGTGCAGAAACGTGGCTAATACCCGATCAATGACTGATCCATCAAGAGCCTTGCTGCTTTGCTGGGACATCAATAGCAATGCGCCTACCCTCATGCCACAGCGCACACTGCATGAGCGCTCTTGCATTGTCCCTGTCAGAGCCTGTCTTGACTTGAGATTTCTTGATATCGGATCTCCGCTGAAACTCATCAAGACCGGCACCTGCTACGTTCCGGTTATCTGACCATACGCACGTTCCGCTGTATCCGAGAGGACCGGAAACAATGGGCGCCCCTTATGGCTCGGAAGTCCCACATCTGACACTGACAGTGACACAGACAAGCACTCGGAGGCAAGGAGGAGCCGCAAGCAGAAGCTAGGGAGGAGCTTTCTGAATGCAAAGTGCATACCTATGTCAGAGCAGGCTCTTCATGTCATTGCGCAGGATTTGAAAAACTGCCTCATTTCGTGCTGCTCCTTTGAGTGACGTGAAACATTGCAGCGGCAGGAAAGCAAGGAGCACTGACCCAGGGTGGTGCAAGCAGCATTGCACTGGAGTTGCCTGCAATAGCTTTGATATAAAACTTCATTCACGATTTTATATGCGATGGCTGCAGTCGCTCGGAAACTCTGCAGGGGTGACCTTTTGTCAAGTACCACAAGTCAGAGATTACAATGTGACCCGCAGAGGGTGACGCAACTCGCTTCGCCAGCACGCAGCTTCTTTGGAGATTCAAAACGAGCGTTACTGCCGCCAACTTTGGGAAAGCAGAGAAGTCACAGGTTAGTTTGATTAGTAAGGACGCACGTTGTAAAGCGCATACCTTATAGGAAGTTCACTTTCAAGAGAAGTAAAGCCAAGTGGTGGGCACAAGTTAAACCTTGAATGCTGCTCGTGGAAACAAGTTGGTGGTTGGCCCATAAAACTTACGATGCACCCGCCATTACATGAAGGTTTGCTACCGCAGTAGTGGCATTAGAAAGTTGTAAGAAAGAACCGCCACCCATGGCTTTCAAGGGATTTCTTGTCAAACACCTGCTCAGGGGAGGTACTTGGAGAGCGACGCCTCAGCCTAATGAATGTCTCGATTCCCTCTGAAGCGTTGCCGTTCACGTTCGGTCAGTGGTAGGTCGAGCAGTTTTAATATCATCAATTGCGCCCAAGGTAGGTAGAAAACATGACGACTTGTTTGAATTTCTACAGGGTGTCAGCAACTAGGCGCGGCAGCGTGCAATGCAGTGTCGCGGGTGCAGCACCAGGAGGTGCGGCGGAAGAGGAGGACCCTTATGCGGTGAGCATACTTGCGCCTTTGTCTTGATCACGATATTGGGGTTCAAACCTCCACCTTAAAGCTTACTCTGCAGCGTCACCTTTTGAATGCATATCGTCGATTCTCATTGATGTTGTCACCACTGTTGTCCACTGGAGACAAAGTTCTACCCACCAAATGCCGGGTTCTAGGGCGATTGGTGGCTGGATGTGACATGCAACTTTGCCAAGCTGACCATGTTCGCTAACTCCAGGAGCAACTTTTCCTGAGTTTCGCTGACCTGGCACTCAATGATAGGCAGGATTCTGCGTCGGTGGTCATGAGGTATTAGGGAAGGTCTTTGAAACGTTTGTCGGAACTTGAAGAGAAAAGTCTTTTTGACACTGGTAATTTTGTCCAATGCTTGATGCAGGTATTGGGGGTCAGTCGACTGGCCAGCTCGGATGACATCATGTCTGCTCGGAGAAGGAGAGTCAAGGATGCGGAAAGAAGAGGGGACACGGCTGCTCAGGAAAGGGTGAGTTACTTAGCACTATTGTCAGTGGATATTCGGTTTTAGATGCTGGATTAGTGTTGAAAGACATCCGATTGGATGCCAGTCTACCGGTTTAGATGCTGGATTGGTGTTAAAAGACATCCGATTGGATGCCAGTCTAGCCTATTTCTTGGGCGGACTTGTGCTTCCATGCTGCTTTCAACCCATGTTTCGCACAGGTTGAAGAGGAAATAAATGTTCCAAGGGTCTTGGAAAGCAAGCTTCGATTGTATGACACTGGACACTGGACAAGATCTTTGAAAATTGGCAATTGAGTTGTTGATGCAGATAAACGAGATTTCAAGCTTTTGATGTGTCGATTCATCCTACGCGAACAGGAATGATTTTTTCACCGTATGAGAAGCTGCCCTCTTGCTTGCTTGCAGTTGGAAAAGGCATATGACAGCATCATGTATGGGCAGTTGAACAAGCGGGCATCAGGCATAGCCTTCGGAAATGTGGAGGTGAGACCCCCAGAACTTGCCTCGCCGTCAATTGTTTGGATCAATGGACTTCACAACAGGGACTTCCTCAACAGTTTGTTTGAGTCGGCCTCCTCAGACGTCAAGTTCTGTGCCCTGTCAGCGTCTAGCTATATTCTATTCTATATTCTTTCTGTTCCATTCTACTCATATTCTATTGTACTGAGGGCTGCTGACGATCTGAAAGCTGCGGATGCAAGCATCAGCGTCGATTCGAAGTGGTTGCCTGAGCAAGTTGAGAGAAGAGTCAAAATACTGATTGTAATGCTTGCATGTGCCCAGTATATCATCAGCGTTCTCCCCGAGGCAAGCGTTTCGGCTCCGGGAAAGTCCCAAATGGAACAATAGGTGGTCGCGTTTCACTCTCCTTTGCACCCTGTTATAGGGCTGTGTGCTTGTTTGTGATGCGGACCCTTTCCGATTTGCAGGTCTCGAAGGACATCAAGTACGCTGACCGACAACCTTTGACTCCCAAATGGTGGCCCAAGTAAGTTCGGGGCTTATGAAGCCTCCTTCTTGCATTCATTGGGTCTCGTTTTGAAAGACACAGAGCATTTTGCAACACCCTCCCTAAGAGTCGACCAGTCCTTGTCGGGTTAAGGTTCTTCTCGAGAAGGACTACGAAGCTGAGACAGATGCAGCATGAGCAAAGTACAAAGCCACACCCGGGAAGATCCCGTTCGTCAACGGACTTCCGTCAAAGGTGGTGATTATCTACGGCTTGAAATGCATATTCCCGATGTTCCATCGTCTCTAAGCGTTGGCCCTGTCCGCGGATCGCCTCTTACTTAGCAACCACCTGGAACGGGTCGTTCTGCTTCGGCGAGTTGTTTGCAACTGACGTATGCCTTCGAGGTCTCTGTCTTTTGGGCCTCTGACGTAGGGCTCTTTTTCTGATGCAGGAAAGCGCCCGTCGATCGGAAAAACACGCTCATTAATGCCGCTGTGGCGGGTATACTGGTGAGGCTTCAGCTTGATTCTTCACGTTAAAAGCAGGGAGGCCAATCATGGAGAGCCACCCAACGCCGAGATCCGGCAGTCGGAGACTCCTCTGTCAACCGTAGAATTTTTTCTACTATCTCGCCGCCATGTCCCTGCTCAATGGTGTGCAGTCAAAGTCGACGGCAGTCTAGCGAAAGTATTCGTCGGTCTCGATTCACCTTCGATCCTGTTGGTGCATCGTCTCCTCGAGGGTCTCGTCACCAGTCACTCTGCTTTTTCCCTCAGTTACGAGTCCTTCTAACAACAGCCTGAGCAGGCTTTGTATCCGAATAGCTTTGGGATTGATCCAAGTCACGTTGTTCACAGAACGGCATTTTGACAGTCAGCAAGAAGCGTCCCGTCGGCTCTTAGTATGTTAGGTTGCGCATCGTCCGAAAACCTACTTGGCCTCCAGTGTTGCCTTTGTAGTACCGACGAACAGGAGGTACGGTACTTTTCAGGCCATATTACCCCTCTGGTATGTACGTTGGGGTACCACGTGGATATGAAAAGCCATCCGATTGGCTAAGAAATTTGGAAAACTTTTGCAGCGTTTCGGTCGACGCGCACCCTTATGCTAACAAGTTCACTCGTCAGTCGAATCGCGTAACAACGGCCAGCATGAAGCGTCCGACTGGAGACAAGCCGGTCGCAGCAATGCTGACACGTGTCTTTTTGACCCGGGTCACAGATTATATCAACGGCGGGCATGAAGTACCCGAACGCAGACAAGCTGCCACTGGTGCTGGTCGCCATGATCCTGCGGCTCTACTTCAAGCTCGGCGAATTCTACCCATACGAGGTGGGCACTTATCAGAATCACCCATCATATCCAAAACGGGGGGGAGGCAGAGGCGGAGAAACGATGAAACGACCAGTCACACGAGGACTCTTGAGTCACATAAGTGTCAACGAGCCACTGTCGTATTTTCCGTCCAACCTGCATTTAAGCCCCGGAAGAACCAAGGGTGCTCTCCACCAGACGGCACGCCGTTGACCAAGCGCCATCTGATGGCCTGGGTTTATGTTGCTGTTTCAGAACCACGTGGCTTCAGATTATCGTCGTCAGGGCTGCCAAGACCCGGGAAATATCTAGCAGCGAGCATACTTTCGTCTTTTAGCACGAATTTTGGGCGACCGCTCGTCTAGCATGGTTCAACCATGAAAGCCACTTCACAGCTCGTTCACTTGCCCCCATGCGGGCACCTTTTTACTCCTCAAAAAGACCACTGGAATGGTCAATATACACCGCCTTCACTGCAACACCGTTTTCAAGCGTCACCGGGAAGGTGTGACTCCGCAACCCCAGCCTGCTGCTCGAGCACTTGGAGCACAAAACGATGGCCGACACGTGGCACCATCTTACTTGCTCTTGTACGTGCCCTCAGGAGGAGGACCGGGAGGAAAAGGCCAACGCACGTAACCAGTTGCTGCTCCGGGTGCTGGGGCTCAGCTTCGGGACGTTCGGAGTTGCAGGCCTGGTGAGAATGCGCTCCTGGTTTGGGCTCAGCTTTTACGTCTCTGCTCTTTCTTGACCAAGTTTTGAAAGGTCTGGCTTCACGGCGGCTCGGTTTGATGCAATCTGGCCTACCCGACAGCTCGCTCTATGTTTGGGTTGACCATGATCTAGAGAAAGCTTGACCTTCTTCCAAGTTTGCTGGGAGAACAGTCCGGCTGATACAGAAGTTTTCCGTGCAGCTCTCTAGCTTGGCTGCCAGCGCGCTCGCTTTCCCGCCGGTAAGTGCCCTGATGCACAACAAGCATGTCCGCTGCCTTTGCCTAGACGATTACGGAGATGTCTCTGACCTGCAAAATTGCTGTCAAAATTCTTGTCCCTTTCTGCGCGTCGCTGAAATAGATGTGACCGGTTACTTTCCGTTCAGGTCTCGAGTAAACGGCACTAGCTCTTGACCATGTTTTGTACAGCAACAATGCTGTTACTTTCGTCCTGACATAACCCTTTACTTGTCGACCATTTTGCAGGCCATTGTTGTCAACACTGTTGTCGTCGCAACTGTGTTCTACGTTGTTTCTTTCCTTCGGTAGCAGCGGATGGTTCGTTACCGGCGCCAGTGTTAGGCTGTCTATCAGGGGGGTCGTGCGATTAGCTCAGAACTTAAGTCGAGAGAGTGCAGTCAATTCTTTCCTTTTTGGCGGAACTTGTGTCTGAGTATAGGTGCGCTATGGCCAATCTTGTGCAATCACTGAGCTCCGCGATTGTCCACAAATTCAGGTCACATGGTCAAGCACATGGTCACCATGTACCATACATGCGAGCCAGACTCCAAGTGCAGCTTCATGTTGCGCGTAGCTGGATTTGTTCATATGGGCCTTTCGTGCTGCCAGCATTGACGGTATGCCCCGGGCCCCATATTCAGGATCCGACTGATCATGGCAGATCATATGCAATGCAATCAATGTTATACTGCACATGATGCCTGAAGTCCAAAACTATAATGATAACAATAAATAACGTAACAATAACAATATAACAATTGCGGCCGCGCAAGCAAACTCAATGCATGACCGGACTCCTGAACATGTATTTCAATGCCGTCCATCACATAAGCGAGTCCGGGCACGCACCGTCATGCATGTGTATACAAGTGTACGCCACATGCTATTGTTCAACAGCCTGCAGGAGGCCTTACTATTATAACAGCGGCATGATTAAGCGAATGTTGTGAAAACGTTTCGGATCCGCGTTCGCGGTACATAAGGATATGTTATGCAGCCGAAACTAAGTTGTCTGATAGCGTACCGACTCAAGCTCCACCTTTAAGCCAATTGTCCTTTTCAGTATCTGTGTTCATTCATATGTCACTGCAAGTACGCACCCGACAAGCATCGACCTGATCGGTCTGACTAGTCTCGTGCGTACCATAACCGGACCCACAACATACACAACAACCTGGAACTCGACCACCGCTTTCCCTGCGCAAAGGCTTTGGAAAAGTCATATCTCGCAATTCTTTCAAGAAGTGAACACACAAAGCAACTATATGACGTGTGTTATTGCTTTTCAACATGGAAACAGTGAAGAATGGGCATTCACACTATCGCATTCCGCCTTTGTCGCACCAGGAAGGACGTCGTTGCCAAACCCTACGTACAATGTGTGGCTGCAATTGCTCGATTATCAGGTGGCAGCCCAAAATGTTGGACCTGATATAAATGGCATATCAGTGTGGCGCACATCAGAATTAAGATCCTAGTTGACCACATTGAGGGAAGGAACAGTCCACTGAATAAAGAATAGAGTCAAATAATGTTAACAATTGCAACAACTCATTTGGAAGTCCTGGCTGCGGCCCTGCAGTCTCGCGGGTAAATGCTACCCACGGAATGAGGTCGCTTGAACAGCATGGAGGTATGTCAACGGTAATCAAGGTGTCCTCTTGGCATAAAAATTGAATAGTGTGCTGTCCTTGAGAGAATTGCTCTGTTGCTGCACAATATTCTGGAGGCCGGCTCCTCTCAGGATCTCTGCCTGCATTGACGAGAGCACGCAACCAGTCAGTAAGATTCCATGCCATTCAAGCTGATGAAATGGGATGTGGTCAGCTTGGAAGCACACGACGACCGATCTTATCTGTCGAAAGCGGTTGGCGGACCCTTTCATGGGGTAATGTGGCCGCCAGTCAAAGGTTTGGACGATGCAAAAGGTCTAGCTGGTTCTCAAAACTGACGGGGGCGAGGTGCCCTCACAAGTCGCCGGTGCAGGACTTCTACCGCGATGCATGGCAACAATTAGCTAAGCATCTTAGTCATATTTCAGTAGGCCACGCATCCAGCCACGTGCCTCCGCCACCAGGAGCTTGTCCTCTGCCATACCCGTGCTCAACCTCGCCACTTCTAAAAGATAGCAAATCAGACTTCAACCAGCAAAAGCACAAATCTCTAAAACCCTCGTATCGTAAGACCCTGAAATCCCAAAACAAACGTCCTCTGTCCGATTGGTGGAAGGTGGACCAAATACCTCAACACCGACCTGGGTAACCGAAAGGCTTCTTACCACTTTCGTGAGGCGGCCATCGATGTCGTGCACTTCCATGACGACCTGCTTGATCTTCGGCCAATCGCTGTGCTTGATTCCGTTTAATACGTCCAATTCGGCTCGCTCCACGTCGATCTTGAGAAGATCAATTTGCCTGTAAGAGAACCCAAATCGCATTAGTCTTTCCAGGGTCGGCGTCAATCCAACGGCTCAAAGAATGCGCACCCTTATATCGAAGACACTGTGACGAAATGACGACTCTTTGTTGCATGGAAGTACTGGAGTCAATCGATCTCTGTCAAGATTTTCGCGTACAATCCATGTTAAACTATGTCACTACGTTGAGTAGCCGGTCAAGTTCTTTTGTCGAAAGACGGTATCCCACCATTTTGTCGCCGCATAGACGAGGCCTCGAGTGCGAGAACAGAAGGGCTCTCGTCAACTGAAAGAAGCAACACATTGGTTCTGCCGCCCTACTCCGTGCATCAAAACTGCTGATAGCTGGCGCTCCTTAGCTAAGGAAGCATGCGCATTGGAAGCAACTTTGGGCACAGATTAGAGATTGCTTTGAAACAGTCTCAGACGTCAGCACGTTTACGCCATACACCAAGATTCAAAGGCAGCTTTTCGGAGTTTCACTCGAGATTGCAACGGTCACTCGACATCGTTCCAGAAATTCTTACCAATTACTTACTCGATATCGTACTCTTCGATGATTTGCGACAGCGTAAACAGAGGACAGGTCGCCTGCAAAAGTAAAAGGCGAGATCGAACGTCACTGGTGCGGGCATTCGGACAAGCCAACAGATTTCTGTTGACATCAATTCCAGAAAGTCTCAAGCTGTGCCTAAATAAATAAACTCGAGTGGTTTTTGAATGGAAACCAGTACTTGCGCTCCTGAGGCAAGGCCATAGGCGAGTTCGCAAGTGGCAACAAGGTGGGAAGTTGCCAACAGAAGGCAAAGAGTGCGTCTTCAAAAGACCGTACCTTCGTGGCTCTGCTGAGCATCCATCTGACATACAGACGGGTCAGAAGGCTGGATAAAGAAGGAGGCGCGCGCTGCCGAAGCCACCTGCCTGTAGAGGCCTGCACAAAGCACCCTCTAACCAACTCGGTTGGTATGCAACAGTGGTTTAACCAGCCAAACATGTACGGTGCTCACTTACGTTTCTACGAGCGTGCCAATCAAAATTTGAACCACGTCCCTTGAATCAGCAAGCATAGCTGGGTCCTGTGGACACGTAAATGCAGGACGAGAGGGAGAATGAGAGAGGACTCACCAACGGCGAATCGCCAAGGCCCTCGCCCGTAGACAGCGCCGTGGCCAAGAAAATGTCCATTGAAGTCCTCAACTGAAAGAGAAGCGGAAAAGTTTTCTCTCCTATGGCCGGGTCATGGGATCAGGCTCAGCAAAGACTTGCACAGATCACATGAGTTCTGAAAAGCTGCAAGTCCTGTTATAAAGTCCCTTCAGGCCTGGCGGCGAGAGACAATCGAGCCAAATGGAGGAGAGCACTCAAATGAGCAACTGAGACGTTGGTAAGCGCGATGGACTGGAATGATGATGAGGAAATATGAGCTTCGATTCGAGAACTGCATCTTGACCCCTGTTTTGCAATGCAACACGATATCGAGAGCCCTGAAGCACTGACCTCCTCCTCATCTTCACACATGGTGCTCCAGCCTGCCGCCTGCTCATAGAAAGTAAATTCCGCCTACAGATAGACAACCGGAGACGAAATTTTGGAGATGCTACACTTTCAGAGAAGTGTCCAGTCAGGGGTGGCAACATACCATTTGAGCGACTACTTCAACCAAAAGCAGACTCTCCTTGAAGTCGCGAATGGTTCGATGGAGTTAGACGAAGCTCATCTGGCAGAGTCTTGTATGAGAGGTTCGACCAGTCTGTCTATTGAAAAGCATTTCAAGGTTAACTCGCCTGAGGAGGGGTAGTCCAAGGATGATATCTGATCGCTTGGCGAGTCTTGGGAAGCTGGTTCAGATAGGGCTCACCTGGTGCAGAAGGCCATCAGAAAGACCCGCGTTGATCAATTCTACCCTAGCACAGGGGGGCCCTTCTACATTTAAAGAAATGTTCTTCTGCAGTGCACTGAAAATGGAGGGAATTGGCTCAAAGGCCAACACTCGACCACCGATGCATTTCTGCACAAGAATGCGTATGAGTGGACAACTTGAAGTTAGTGTTGTGGAAAGATTCAACTGTGGCAAGATCCCGCAATCAGAGTGAAAGGTTGGCAGTCTCTTAAAAGATAGAATTACACTCACGGAATGATTACAGACCTTAAAAAAAGCAGATTGAATAAGCGGTCGGCAAGATGCCCAATAGTTAAGAAGCAAAACAGGCGCCAGGCGAACTTAGGAAGATTGCTGTCACGTTGGGCAACCTGCCAGATGCTCACCCTTGCTGCTTGGATAGTAAAGAGACCAATGTTTGCACCTACATCCAGCACAGTGTCTCCTGGCCCTATACTTATGCCATGATCCAGATAAGAGCATTGCTCCCAAATCTCCTCGTAGAGGAAGGCGACGTCGGCCTCGCTGACAGAATGGACTATCAAGCCATTTGGCAAGACTACTGCTCTCATGCCACTCTCTTTAGAATCACCTACAGAAGGATCATATTCACCTACTCTGCTTGGGTTGCTAGCGTAGCTTCCAATGTGGCGTGTTCTGCTATACTCAGAGCGACGGCTGCTCTTATGGCTGTTAATCGCTTTAGAAGCTTGTCTGCTCCTGCTCAAAGAAGCGGCTTCTGCACTAAGTATTTGACGTGCCTCAGAAAATTGGCTACAATGCGCTGGTCTCAGTAGGAGTTGCACGCTGAGCACTGACTTAGTCTGTCTACCTCTGATGGAATGGTGGTGCGGTACATGTTGGCAGAGTATTGAGCTGTAGCTGGTTCTCGAAAAGTGACGCGCCAATTCGAGGCTTTTAGATGGATGCAGAATAAGTTTCAGGCCAGTTCGTTGCATGCAGGCCGGCCGCGCCTCCATGCCCAATGCTGCTTTAAACAACGCTAGATCAGTGTACGTCTGACTGTCTGCTGGTGCTTAGACAGCAGCTTTGGAGCTCAAGACCGCCACCACCTTGCTGCCATCAAGACACCGCCCCCTGTCAGTGTCAGCCCGCCTGCTTTCTCTTCCATTCTGATTGATCATCCTCTCTCCTCTCTTCTCTATCAGTATCATCTCAGTTTCGAATATAAATTCCACTCTAAGGGTGTCGTTCCACGAGCGGTGGAAGTAGAAATATAAATTCCCTGATTGGCCCAAATTGTTTCTGCCGTCGGTCAACTGGCGGACTTCCGGGCAAACAAATGCCACGTCGGCGGCACAACTTTTATTAAAACTCGACCCGAGTATTTGTAGGGTCGAACAAAAATATTTTTCTGTGCCGGGACGTGGCACTGCATCAGCGAATGAGAGGACGCCATGTCGGATTCTCCAGTAAGTGCGTATATTTTAAATGCCACTTCCACCGGCGAGCTGTTCCACGAGCGGCCGGAAAATGGTAATATATTGAACTTCCAGGCAAATTCCGGCCTCTTCAGAGCCACATATTTTATTTATTTTGCTGACTTCCACCACCGCCCGTGGAACGACACCCTAAATATTTGCATTTTTGATTCAAATCACGTCGATACCGTGTCGGGAACCGGCACTCTGCGCCTGCCGTGTTTGAAACGGCGCTTTTTGGAGAGTCGAGACCCATGTATCGGGTATATGGGCGTTACTCAGGATGAACCGCTTGCAATAAGCGGTCCCGTATTACAAACTGCGCATATTCCGACCTAGCTTCAAGATTTAACCCGGGCCCAGGTTCTGAGTGAGGCATGAAATGATGAATCATGATTCATGATGCTCAGAGAAAGTGATGGTGGGAGAAAAACGGCAGCAGAACAGAGACAGACAGGGCACCAGTTGAGAAGCCTTCTAGGTTCTAAGGTGGTGGCGCTGTAGGGCGGGTCACGAACAGACCAATGATCAGAAGCAGTAGCAGGACTTTGAGAGCGAGGCCAGCGTTGAGCAATATTGCCATTGACAACAAGGGCGAATGAGGGCCTAAGCTGGATGATGCCAGTCGCGAAAGACCGACCGCACTTTACAGACAATTGCTACCACCAGTGGCGCCATAGAGAGCAATGATGTGGGGGCGCTGCCGGACTGTCTTCCGGACAGTGTCCCAGAGACGGCATTCCGTGGGCCAGGAGAGCTTCTGTGGTTTCGGTACTGATCTACTAGGTGGTGATCAGCTGCTGATGAGCCAGCCAGTTCAGGGCTTACGCATCGGTGGTGGCGCCAATTCTCATCACCAGGAGACTGTCTTCCAGGCTCCTATTAGGCTTGGCCTTGAAGGTTCTTTCTTTGATTGGCATTCCCCTCAATTCTGCATTCATCAGCCCCGAAACTTCTCTAGCACCCCGCCCTCTCTCAGCCCCCCACCGCTAAGTTCACAGAAACCCATCCTCGTCAGAAATTTTATATTAGACTCTCTATATAACCCCAAGTACGGCTACTTTGCGTCACAAGATGCGGTGGTAGGGCGAATACCTGAAACAATTAACTTCAGCCAGCTGTGGGGTAGAGGAGGGTACACAAAGCTTCTAAGTAAACTCTACAGAGAGATTGGCTCATCTTGGTTGACTCCTGTTGAGCTGTTCCAGCCCTGGTACGGATATGCTCTCGCAGAGTTCATCACCCGGAGTAGCACAATTCCTCATACTGGCGCCAAGGATGCCAATCCTCAGCTTCGAACTAAGAGTCCACAGAAGCTATCTAAAAAGCCTGGGAAGTTTGCGGAGGTCGTTGATGGGACCTTGAAAATCTATGAGATTGGTGCGGGTTGCGGTACGTGCGCGCTTAATGTCTTGGACTACTTCGAACAGAAAAGGCCTGAAATCTACAAGCGGATGCACTACACCTCAATAGAGATCAGCGAGTCGCTGGCAGCGGAACAGCGAAAGACGGTGAGCCTCTGATGTCGTTGGATATGTACCTTTCTTTGGAGGTCATCTGAGGAAAGCGGGTGCTGAACCTTACGAGCTGCTGTTTGTAAGCCACTCCAAAGCAATTCAGTCATTTTTAAACAAAGGTCTACTGAAAGCCTGTAATCTTACAGCCATGTCCTGCTTCTCGTTGTCCATCCGTCGAGTCATCCGGGTTGACCTTGTGGATATCCCTTCTCTCGAAGTGTATCTCCTTGAGTAAGGTTCTTTTGCTTTGTCCAGATTCGAAATTGCGGATTAGAGCCTACAGGCTGCAGGCTGTTTGCAACCACTTCAGTCGTGTCTGCGACATGTGACGCGGTCAAACATCTTAAAACTCTGTCAAACTCCTGCACGACTTAGGTTCATGCCAAGCGGCAGCACCAGTCGAAGTTCAAGGTGGAGGTCAGAAACGCAGCAGACGTGGCGGCATGGGGGCCACCCAGCGACGAGCCGTGCTTTGTGATCATGTTGGAGGTAAGAGCAGTGCGAGTTGAGTTTCGATATTTTTCAAGTATCTTTCCTTCTTAGTCGTCTTAAAGAAATTCGCCGTCGATTCTGGATCCGGGGTCCGATCCGGAAGGTGTACCTTTTCGGGCGTTTCCTTGTGCTCGACAGTGCTGCTTCACGGCCACGAAATGCATCGATGTGACCTCATCGTACATGACATTGTTTATGACCATCAAAGTATGTTGCGGAGCTCGTTGCCCAGAAGATATAAAAGGCAATCGGTCCGAACTGGTATTCGCTCCTTCATTCACAATATCAGTCTCAGGAAATGAAATCCATCATACAAACTCAATCTAGAAGAGATGTGACAGCATTCTGCATAGTGATGACATGTTGCCTGTTGGATCAAAGTTCGCAGTAAGAATGACGCTTTTAGTCGGAGTCTACCACTCAAATCCTTTCCTGAAGGATTTCATTTCTGTCTCGTTCCATCGAACTAGCCTGTAGTCTTCTGATCTGATCTTGCGAAGTATTGATCCGGTTCCGTCAAGCCCGCTTTCGCTGGCAAAGACACGTAAGCATAGCCACAGACGGACACGATAAGCTGTACTTCGAGACCTTTTGGTTCTGGAGCACTATTTCCTTTCCCGCATGCTTTGAACATGACGTTTCTAGAGGTCTTCACCAGTAGCATACGCTGTCACCGAAGTCGAGTGCTTCTCAAGTCCGCTATTATTGTCTGAACGTGAACCAGATTCCGTTCGCATGTCTCTGGACAATTTGAAGCTCCGTTCAATTCGGAAGTTGTGTTAACGGTGCGACTGTACCCAATCTCTGAACTGCTGTCTCGTTTACTTGAGGAGGAGACAACAAAGCCCGCAAAGAATCTCGCTGTGTACAGGTCCTCGACAATCTGCCGCACGACCGTGTCTTCCGCTCCAGCCGCCATGACCCCTGGCTCCAGACCATGGTGACGTCATCCCAGCCGGGGTTGACGTCAGCCACGCCTAGCCCCGACTCCTCCATCCCCCCGAGCGAAGTTCAAGACCCCTCCAGCTCCCCCCTCCAGTTTCGAGAGTTGTTAGCACCGGTCCGAGACCCCCTGATCCGACGATGCTTAGCCGCCCTTGAGCCCGGGGGATCAGAAGCGGGACCCTTGAGCGGAACGGAACCCCCAGACGGAACGGAACCGGTCAAAGCTAACGTAACAGGACTGCTCGCGCTCGCCCGGGAGTTCTTTGGCAGCCTGGCGGAACCCCCCGAGGGCTTGGAGGTTTTGTGGCTGCCCACCGGCGCTCTGCAGCTGCTGGAGACGCTGTACGCGGCCCGTCCGAACATGTGTCTAGTAGCTGCGGACTTTGACGCGCTGCCGGACGTCCGGATAGAGGGGCGGAACGCGCCGCTAGTTGCCAGCAAGGTGTGCGCTTGCAACCATTGAGTGCGTTGACGGCCTCGAGCTTTTAAAATCTTTCATGCTTTGACCCTCGTTGCCTTGCCCCGCCCGTCATGCTTCTTCATTATATTTTTGTAACGAGATACTCTCTCTTTCATGTTGTGGACTTGATGTGACTTTTCGTGACGGGCCATTGCCTTTTGTTCCTCGACTTTCAGTCAAGAAGGGGAGTATTCTGGTCTGACAGATCAGGCGAGTGCTTGTTCGTCACGCCCAATCTGGAATACAATCGTGCGCATTTTTCAGAGACAACGACGCGATTTCAAAGTCCCCAAGCCCACTTTCACCAACTCATATTCGGCTCTCAGGAGGTCCTTTACGAGAATTTGATCCATCTCGGTCTGACCTGCGGGGGCTGAGTTCTCATCGTGTGGCGTTTCACCGTTGTCCGCTTGTCCAAACGCAGGCTGACGGAGTCACTCAGGACCAGTCGACGTATTTGGTACAGCCCGGGATAGCCGACATCTTTTTTCCGACCGACTTCGACGTGTTGCACCGGTTGAACCTGGCAGCTGCTCATTGGTCGAAAGCTGGCCACGTGCCCTCGGCAAACTCGGTGAGCACCGCTTTATTAGAGTCTCTCGATCTAGCGCGGATCGATGATCCGCAACCCTGAGGAATGAAATGTTGAGACCAGTTGTTGGCTTCAAGAATCATCGGCGACATGCAACCCGACTCGGATTGCCTGCCAGACGGGCGCGTTTGCGCAAAAGAGCCACACGCTTTTGGAGTCGCTTGAGCTGTTGTCGTGGGAGGGTGTTTGCAGACGCCAACGGGATAACTCTCCAATCACATGCGCGGCTGTCGTCTTCTTTGGTGAACCTTTTGCCGAACGCTGTCGTTTGAACCGGCCGGGAGCAAATTTACAGGAACGATGTGATGTTGGCACTACGAGGCTACGGACAGCAGGCCACTTTAAGCGGTCTTTGTCGCTTTCCAAGCAGCAGCGTACATTCTACATCGACTCTCTACGGAATCAAGAAGTGACATATTTAGGTCAGGACAAACGAGTCCTCTCCTATTCCATCGGGACGCACTCCGTAACCTTCAAAACCACTCTGCGAATCAGACCCCTCAATCAATCTGAATTTTGATGCACAGGCAAGCACACGAGCCTTCATGGAGCAGTTCGGCGACGTCAAACGGACAAGAACAAGGACTGGGTTCAACCCGCTGCTTGAAGATTACTTGAATACGAAAATCTTTGTAAGTCAGCCGGGAACAAGATTTGACGGGTCCTGAAAGCAGATTGACAATTTTATCAGCTTGACGGTGTGTCAAAGCAACAGGTGTGTGGACGAGACTATGTTGAAATAAGGTGTGTGCTTACACTGCCCTCCAACGGATGAGGCGCAGGAAGGGAAGAAAGTGGAGACGCGGTCAAGCGGAAACGCTGCAGCCTTTTCAAATGTACTTAGCGACTGCTCATCATTCATCGGCCATGTCACGCCGGTATCACCTTCGTTAGTCGGACGGTATTTCGTTCTGCCCGATCTGCCCCGCAGTGCATGCGCAGGTAGTGTACTGCCTAGGAGGTTGGGGGTTCACCGTCATTTTGTCCAGGAATTAATTGTCCAGGAAATAATCAGAACGACGCGGACATGCTTGACAACAGCAGAATGTACAATGATGCCCTATTGCCCCAAACATGTCGGCCAGCTTATCCTGCAGCAAGGATACCAACAAAGCACAAAGGGGCAAAGGAATCTGCAATTTGTAATTCAGCCTGCCAGCATGTCAATGTTGCGCCACATGTCTGATGTACAATGCAACTTTACGATAAAGTCCGAGACTGGTAGCTGACTTAGGGTCGGACATAGTGCAATCAAGACATGAACCCGTCATGTATTTCAAACTTGAGCGTTTCCAGATTCGGTACAATCGAAGTAGCTACATTATGTCATGTTGATTTGACCGTACGTCGGCGTACGCAAAGGCCGCCAGCCGCAGGCTGCGGCCGCGCGGGCCTGCGAGGGTGCCGCGCGCGAACGCCGGTTTCCGTTTGTAAGACTCCGGGATCAGTTCCGTTGATCGATTTTGAGCGGAACGTGCCTTGGGCTCTGCTCTGCTTTGCTCCCATGCTGCTGCAATCGCTCCTGTGGAGCTGCCATCTACGGGAGCATCAGATTCATAGATTCATACGCAAGAAGCTATCAAAAGTCTGCATTACCATACCGGTGATCCCCATTAAGGTGGTACAGCATTGGTCCCAATGACTCCAAAGCGCAGCGCCCGCGGCTTGGCGCACCCCCTCAGTCCAACAAGCTCAACCGGGAGCAACGACCTGGGTCCCGAACTGCTCAATGCCATATTCAGCAAGCTCTCCCCCAGCCCTATCTACCTGGCGGCACTCCACTGTGTATGCAAAGACTGGCGCGACGTGATGCAGGAGCACACCTATCAGCAGCTCTGCCTGGAAGCCGCTCCTCGCCTATGCGAAGCAATGGGGTACAGCAAGATCAGCGCGCCCCCAGGTGGATGGGCGGCAGTTTTCCAGCTCCTGGTCTATTGCCCCGGGCTCCCTTCGTTACTATACACAACTGCAAGGGGGGAATGGTGGAACCAGCTCGGGCATGTGCAGAAGAAGACAGGCGGCTTTCTGACGGGAAACGGCGTTGCGTCCGCTTTACAGCTGAAGGAGGCGTTTCACAAAGACGAGCTCTTCGTCACAGGTTTGTGTCAGCACGAGGGGGCGCGGAAAAACGTGTGGGACGAGGACGTGGAGTACATCTCAGCGTTCAAGTCATGCGCATGCCGCGGCTTGGTCAGTGACTTTTCCAATTCTGCAATTGCAGAGAGGTCGGGGGCGGTCAAGTTCTGCAAGGCGCCTCTGGAGGAGCAGCAGAGAATGCAGGGGAGCGCAAAAGATCGGTGCACGTATTGCCGAGCACCGCTGTTTGAACTCCAGGATCGTCTCTTCTTCAGAAACAACTACTGTAGCTCGGAATATGAGGTGGCAGATGAGGAAGAGGAAGAAGACTCTGACTGGGAAGAACCAGATGAGGATGGTTCCGCAGTTAGGGGCTACGTCTGCGGGAACGGACATCTGACGTTGGGCGCGGTCGGCAACTTTACAGAGCTTGGCGGAACGAAGGTGGCGGGCTCGGGGGAGGGTCTGACGGTGGAGCCTTCCCCCCTCCTCAAAGGGTTGTCCGAGACCTTTGCGCTACAAGAAGAGTTTGAGAACGAGCTCGAGTTTCGGAAGGGCTTGGATGCGTTCTCTGTCGCCAGGAAACTGAGGAGCCTTGCACGCGGGATGCGAGATGGCGTGGTTGCAGGAGATCAAGGGGAGCTTGAGCAGGGAGAAGAAGCTTTGTTTTCGACAGAGTCGAAGACAATGGTCGAGATGGAAGCGGTGTTGCCTGAGTTTCAGAAAAGGCCCTGGGATACGGTGGTAGCTTTCGAGGAAGATTTCGAGGACTCCGAGTCGGAATCGGAACCCGATGCCAAAGCTGGCGGCAAACCCCCTCTGGGAGACTCCAACTGATGACGTAGACTTCATCATGGAGTCTCTGCAAGGACATCACCGGGCTGTGCCGATCGTCCGGAGATACGCCGCGGGCAGTAAGCGAAGTGCGAAGACTGCTCTAAGGAGATGGCACCGGCTAAGAATGCTAGACAGAAGGAGGTCCAAGATAGTATCCACGCTCTCTGCAGTAAGAGGCAGGAGAAAGAAGGAGATTGAGGCTGCGTTAAGGAATGTGGGGATACATCCGGCTGCGGAGTGGGCGTGCGAGAAGTGGCCGGACACCAGCGCAGTCGACAAGTACGCTTCGGTAAGTCAATATGGAGACTGAAATTTCATTCGCTTCGTGTGGTTGGTCATGAGTAGCCTAATCGCACAACCAGAACTAGATTTGGCTCGGCGCGGTCACCGATACAACTTGGGTTGGAGTTCGTAGGAGGTTGAAAGTTGGGACATGATTGAGTCAGTCTAGATACAGGGGCCCAAACTGACATCTAGTCAGCCTTCACCCCGGGTTCAGGCATCGTGTTGATCTACCTGGTTAGGGTGGTTCAAGTGTTGTTCCCTGCAGCCAAAAAGCTATCCGGACAACTTTCAGACCAGTAGAGCAATGCAGCAACTTTTAAAGCTGTCTTCATAGCAGATACTTCCCGTTCGATGTGCCATCACTGAGGCGAAACTAATGAAAACTCCCTTTGTTCCAAGTCTTTCAATGTCAGAGTTCGAGGCTATGTCCGAAGCAGGTTCAATATTAAACAATTCAGACTCGAAGAGATCATTTTATGCATCAACTCAAACACGGATCATGATCGTTCACGTCACTTTCTCTTAAATCAACGAGATCAGTCCCTGAGACGGTTCGGTTAGTGACATTGTCTCCTCTTCTTGGTTCGAAGGACGAGGACTTCATGATCGACGAGGTCATCAGCTGCCAGCGGAAACAACTAGCGGAGGCGGCAGCTAGGAGGGCTGCGGACCCGGTAGGTGCCGAGCGAGAGCGTCTGAGGGCACAGAAAGAGGCGAGGGACTTTGCGCGGATTCTTCAGCGGGGTGAGAGGAAGCAGCGCTGCAAAGAGTTTCAGAAGTCTATGAGATGCCCGGGGTCTTCGAGTGGGGGACAATGCAGTAGTACTGGTTCGTACACCTGCGCGTTTGTAGCGTGCGCCAAGTGTTGTCCAACGTACCCTGGGGACTGCCCGCGCCACAAAGCCGTGCTCGCCTGAGGCGGTCAGAGTCAGTCCGTTGGATAGATCTGCGTTTGCCAAGTGAGAGGGCTTGCGACCTCGAAGTACTGAGAGCACGGCAATTGGTTCAGAGAGTCGATGCTCTCTAGGTTGGACGAACTTTGGCAGACGGTCTAGTTCGTTGAACGGATAGTGCGCGGCATCAAGTGCCGAGTCTGCATGGATAGGTCGATCAAGGTCGCTCACTGCCAACATTTTTGGCACATCTTGTTCCTTGCCAATTATCATGCAGTGTTCAGATCTCATCACGAGCCGCCATGATTGTGATCATCTGAGCCGCTAAAGCGTACCCTCAAGTATGCATGATCGCAACAGGCCCTGACTGGCTGAAGTGCAGCTTTGCATGATGCGGCCAGCAGCCATTAAGGAGAGTTGAACACTACGATCCGGGCATAGAGCTGCCCGAGACAATTGTGAATGAACGTGAATGAAAGAGTTCATTCAGAATTAAATGTCAGATCGATTATCAATGCCGCGCGATCGTATACACCGTGTGACTACCAACTGATTTGCTACTTTGTGGTACGCGACGTACCTATAGTGCCATGCTCAATGCACTAGGACGGCCGGGCCGGCCTGCTATAGTCGGATCGACTATATAGCCCATGCTGCATGCCATGTTCGTTGGCGACCGGGCTATAGCTCCGGCAATTATTGAAGCTTATATCCGACCGTATGCATGATAAAGCCATGGGCTTGAGCTACCTATGTGCCGGCCTCATGCATGTCCTAGCATGATGTCAGTGTCAGATCGCACGAAATGGCCGCAAGAGTCTGATCATTCCATGCCCCATGGCCCCCGATGTATTATCGTTCCATGCTACCTTAGTATAGGATATCAACGTCCCGAGTGTGAGCGGCCTGGCTGGCGCGGCACAATCCATGCAGAGTTTCACGCTCTCAATGTCGGCCACGGTCCAACGACAATCGTTGCCCTTGTGTGCAACATTCTCCACAATCACCTGCGGCTTATGTTAGACGTCCACCCCTTGAGCCGCTGTGGAAATGTCCATCTCAATCCAATGATAATCACGTATGTGCAAAATCTGTCAGGTGTAACAGTGAATTGTTGGTTATGCGACCTTCTCTCAAATCTAGAAGGATTTTACATTGCAGCAAATTGTTGCATGCCCCCTTGGCCGAACATCATAGCAAGGTCCATACCTTGTTCCATAGCGGGAATCGCTACACTGTACGGACACTCTGCGGAAAAGCCCTTCTTTCCTGTGGCTCTCACTCGAGCCATGCATTTCTTGAAGGCTTTATGGCATGGGTTGTGTAGAAGCCCTGGCAACAGGTGTAATGACATCAAAGTTAGATAGGCAATCTATCAGAGTCGTCACTGTGCTGACATCATGCTGTATCACGAAGCTGAACACTCTCGCTCGTTCTCGCCGACCATAATCCTTTTATTCACGAGAATCACCAGATCTAATGCCCCTCAATGCCTGGTCTTCCCACGACGATCACAGTTCCGACAGTGAGCCTGAGGAGAAGCGTCCTGGCATGTAGAGCGACCAAGCAGACCGTTATGAGGAAGTTCTGGCTTACCGTGCTTCACACAGCACTCATCGTGCTTTTTGCAACACGCGTCCAACGGATCACATGGTTCCTCTCCTGGGCACCCGGTCCAGCCTACCCCGCAGTACTTGCCGTATCGAAGACCCATCGCTGCAGCACTTGGCACAAAAAGTACAAGCTCTTGAGTACAAATTACAGTTATTAACTCCGCAGAACATGAAGAGTGCAAGATGATATGCGGGGCGGAGAAAAGATGCAGCCTTGTTTGTTAGCAAGGTAGGAAGATCCTCACAGAAGTTGATCAAGAGAGCACAGGGAGGGGGATTTACTTACTATTGCAGTCCTTTGCAACGCACACTTTGCTGCAATCTGGGCCATGATCACCCTGCAAGACAAGAAAGTGGCTTCTTAGATTGTATTGAGGTACAAACAATAGCGAATATGGTGTTGTTTGCCAAACGCTCCTGGGAGTGCGTTCACTTGAGCGTTTCAGATCTCACGGCTAGAGTCGGGGCAGAAGGACCATTGTTACATAGTTACTACTGCAGATAGAAAGTTCTGCCCTGTCAAAGTTTCTGAGGTAAGGCATGGAGGCAAACCAGTGGCTAATATAGAAATTCCAGGAGAGAAAGTTGAGCGACCGTCCCACTTCTCTTTTCCAATGTGGCTTCTATGAAATGTGGCAGCTTCAAGGAATATGAATCACCTACGGCTCTGTTGCTGACATCCACCAGCACAAAATAAAGCTGCTCAGAGCATCATTCGAGTTGAATATTCCATGAAGCAATGCAAAAGAGTTGCTGAAGAGGGGGGCACCCATTTGATAGCACAATACGAAAGTCTTTTCCCAAGCATGGGACCGACTTAAGCTCAATGGGCGCTTAAGCATGGGAAAGCGAATTGTGATTGAGCGACTTTCCAAGTACAAGGTCCTCCTAAAGAATCCAAAAGTAGAAAAGGGCTAACTGAGTAGGCAGCAATCTACAAACAGGGCGCACTTGAGTTCAGCCAGTTGGTTATATCAAGATTTTGGCCAGCATAAGAAGAGAATGTTTTAAGACATTGATTTTAACTTGTTGCCCCAGCTCAATTAAAGAAGCGCGCCTCAAATAACAGCTTACACGTGAGTACTCACGGTTCCCAAGCCGCCGCTATCTACAGGCTGCCTCCGTGGCTTTTTGTCAGAGGTCCCAACCGCCCCATCGACGCCTCTTCCGCAGCATATGCCAGCAACAAGAAGGCAGCAAACCAAGGTCGTCTGCGAAAAGGTGCCCATTTTAGGTGTGTGTGTGCACTTTCCAACTTATAACCTCTGAGGAGCTGAGGTCGACAAAAGAACACCTGAAGCCCACCCTACTGAGCCACCTGTTGCCTGCCTGAACAGCTCCCTCCCTCCCTTCCAGCTCGGCCAGCTGCCACTGCCAGTACTGCTACTACCTACTACTACTAGCTTAGCCAACTTTTCTAGATTTGGAGACTTTCCAATTCAATTTGGACCAATTCAGATCAGACCTCAAAAGCAGGAAGAAAATTTGCCTCTCTCCATTATAGTAACATGCTTCAGCCTTCCTCTGATACAAGATGCAGAGGCCAGGTTGGTTTGCCCCTGCTTTGAGAAAGCGGCATTTGGTGCTGAAGATTCGTATGGAATTTCGGAATTCTGTCGAAACAATTCATGGAGACTTTTGAGCAATCTCGAACCTCTTGTCATTTGCAAGGAGGGGCAAGGCGGCTGCACGGGAGCTTGGACATTCTTACGTCCCTCTGCTCGCGAAGGTGGTTATGTCGTTCCGTGGGCTGACCACCGCTGTTTATAAGGTTGCGTTTGTTTTGCGCATCACTCTGCGCTGAGGGTTTGATCAGAAATCTCTCTCCAACAATCCGCAGCAATGAAGTAAGTTACGCCGCACCCTCTTTATTCTTTCACTTTTACCACTCGTACAATGCTGGATGCCAAACGAAGGCTGGAGCTGATAGAGCTGAGAACATTCCAATCCACACTTCGCTTGCTGACATATCAGCTTGGTTTCTGCTGTACCACCATATGCGCATCGTCGTCCCTCAAGTCCCTATAATACTCTCTCCAAGAGGATCTGACAGGCCGGGTTGTTAGAACTTTGCGGTCTGAGGAGATTGCTGCGCGCACCTGGCCTTGTCAGAACGTACTACTGCATCAAACATCAAAACTTTTCAAAACCCAATGATAAACAGACTGAATTGCAGATTAAGAAGGCACTTCAAACTGAGTTTCACAGTCCACTTGAAACGAAGTCTTCTGCTTGGAAGGGTGGTGCAAACAAATATCTCTGACTTGTATGATTTTCTCAGCCAGCACCTCAATAAGAAGCACGACCTTCGACAACTTGGGGCCACTTTGGTTCTTGTCTGAATGATAGAAGCTACAACACCTCAGAGATTTGAATGGAGACTGAATCCCAGGGGTTTGTACAATCTGGAGGAGAAGTCGAGCTCCTCGTTGACGAGTGGCTGAAAGCAAGGCACGATGCTGTGAATTGAGCATCACCATTCTATGAAGAAGCTAAGACCATCTTCTACCCATGATGTCCAGGTTCAACCTGGAAGGGCTCACGGTGTACTTTCCCTATGAGTACCTGTACCCAGAGCAGTACAGCTACATGCTTGAAGTCAAGCGAGCCCTTGATGCTAAGGTGGGGCATGCGTTTTTAAAGTCTTCTACAACCAATGAGATTTACAGGTTCCCTGCTTGGAAAGTTGCTGTGCTAATGAAGTGAAAGACAATGAACGCGTCGATCAACTTCTCTGAGAAGGCAGACTGCAACCCACCCCGTTGTATGGGCCAGCACATGGCAAGACTTTCAGAAGGCGCCGATACTTCATCGCGTGGGGCCTGCAGAGTCTGAGAGACCCCAGTCGTACAGCCACATTTCTCTAGCACCTCGGTGTGAGGTCTTGATGTATCGGGGCACAAGAAAGCCCATCACAGTTCCTTCCATATGCTCCCATGCGGTCAGCACACCCTAGTCCATTTGTCTGAACCGCCTGGCTTTTGATGCATTCAATTTTCGGGAAAAAGAAACGGAAATGAGGATGTTATAGAGGTCAAAACTGGAGCGTAATTGTCGTACAGGGCCATGGGCTTTTGGAGATGCCCACGGGGACTGGAAAGACCATCACGCTGCTGTCATTGATCACGTCATACCAGCTGGCACACCCCGACATGGGCAAGCTCATTTACTGCACGCGTACAGTCCATGAAATGGAGAAGGTGAGGGAGGCCGCTCACTTTAGGCCGCTTACAGCAGGGTTAGGAACGCAGTTTGCCAGGAATCGGTTTTTCAAAGAAGCTGGCGTGGTGGTCGAGAGGGCCTCGATGTAAAGTGTCCAAAACTGTCTTTTCCTGTTTGTTTCCAGATCCAACCAACGAATCTATTCACTCTCCTTGCAGTTCTTAAAGAAGTTGATTACTCAACCACCTCCATCCTCCAAGGCATGGCTAACAAATGAGTGATTTTTTGAAGTTAACCGCCAACTAACTTGTTGTCGCTATTGAATCTCCGACTCTACTCATGCACCTTCATCGTACTATTCTTCCAGGTTCTCGAAGAACTACGCAAGCTGCAGGCCTACCAAGAAAAGGAACTGGGAAAGCAGGCCCAAATCCTGGCCCTCGGCCTCAGCTCCCGCAAAAACCTGTGCATCCACCCCACGATTTCCGGCGAAGGCTCCCGCGAAAACGTCGACGCCGGGTGCCGAAAACTGACGGCCACGTGGGTCCGGTCTGCTGCGGCAGAAAACCCGGATATCGAGCTGTGCGACTTTTTCGAGGGGTATGAGAAGAAGGGAGCGGATGCGCTGCTGCCGGCGGGGGTCTACACGCTGCACGACATGAAGGTGGCGATCTCAGAAGATCTGATGACTTGAGGACTCCCAAGTTCAAAGACGGAATGTTTCGTTTGCTTAGGAGGAAGGAGGGGCCCATAAATTGAGTCCGAGCTGAGAGACGGCTCGTTTTACATGCTCGGTGCCCTTCCACGTATCTGATATTTTAGGAACGCATCTGTTTCCAGGATACAGCAGGTCAACAGAAAACCCATGTCTTCATTGACCTCTGGTGGACATGAGCATCGAGCCGAGCTTTTCAAATCTCAGCCCAGATGCAGACGAGCGCTTCAAGATTCAATTATACATCATTCCATTCAAGCCCACTAGTCGACAACGATATTAAAGTTTCTCGAACCCGCAGCCCAAACGGCGTGTACCAATTCACAAGCCACCTTCCGGCTTTCGAACTCACAAACGTCCACCGTACAGGTGTTCGGTCGGCAAAAGGGCTGGTGCCCCTACTTTCTGGCGCGCCACATGATCACCTTCGCGAACGTGGTCATCTATAACTACCAGTACATGCTGGACCCCAAAGTGGCCGGGGTGATCTCCCGGGAGCTGGAAAAGGAGTGCGTCGTCGTTTTCGACGAGGCGCATAATATTGATAACGTGTGCATCGAGGCGCTGAGCGTGAACCTGCGGCAGCAGACGCTGGACGGCGCGCAGCGGAACCTGACGAAATTGGGGCAGGTTGTCGAAAAGTGAGCAGTTTATAGAGTTCGTTCTCGCTCAATTGTCATGTTAAAGAGTACTGCTTAGTCTGGTTTCTGGTCAGGAGGCGGAACCTCACAAGTATCGGCCAAGTCGTCCAAAAGTGGGCCTTCGTAAGAGCTTTTCTGCTTCTTGGGCACTCTCCGAGGATAGATTGTTTGTAGCCGAGGGCTTCGGTTAAACCAGGGACCTAAAGACATCAGATAGGTCGTCTCCGAGTGACCGGTTGCAGATCCCACTTTTTCTCGATATCGACTCTAGTTGAGAGGCAGACTCTATCGGAAACTGGAGAACAAAGTGAGGGGATATAACTGCTCGTTCATCACCATTCGGAATTCTGGAGTATATCCGTAAGCGGGGCCGATTAACAGTGCGCAACCGAACTTGACCAAGCTATGGGGACGGGTCAGAAGAGAGAGCGCGCTCACATCAGAACTTTTGTCTTTGTCGAGCACGCTGTGGAAGAATTCCCCTTGCGGGCTCGATCAGGGGCATGTGGCTGTTGTGACGAGACGAGCATCCAATGTCAAATGCATTTGCTGGCCAAATGCAGTGGGCTTTGGATTAGATTGCTGTACCTGGAGGAGATTGTGCCCGCTACCGTGAACCTTCCATCAGATAACCATAACTGTAAGCAAATTCTATCGATACTCCCCCCGACTCAAAGACGGCGAGTCAGTCGTTAAAGCGGTGCTAACCGCCTGGTTTGGTTGCTTTAGATCCGTTTCGTTTGGACCTGAGTTTGTTAAGCTCCATTAATAGAATAATAAGAAACGAAGAAGACTTCAAAATCGATACCGTGCAGTTCCAAGGCCAGCGACGCGGATCGCCTGCGCGCCGAGTTTAACCGGTTGGTGGAAGGCTCGCCCAGTGAGGCGCCCTCCTCAAACTGATCTAATGCTGGCCAACCCGGTTCATTTCCTCGTTACTGTAAGCGCACCTCTCAAAACCCTAAAAGTTGCTGAATCATCCCGTGCAGGTTCAAGGCCACCGACGCGGATCGGCTGCGAGCGGAGTACAACCGGTTGGTGGAGGGGCTGGCCCAGCGGGGCACCCTTCCGCAGAACGACCAGATGCTGGCCAACCCGGCGCTCCCGGACGACATTTTGCGGGAAGCGGTCCCCGGGAACATTCGCCGGGCGGAGCACTTCCTGGCGTTCCTCAAGCGGTTCGTGCAGTACCTCAAGCGGAGGATGGGCGCGCAACAGGTTGGGATTGTTTCGCTTTTGACACGATTTCCTGACGTTCGTACCCTGCTGTAAGTTACTGTGCTTCTTGGTTCATTGAGGCCTTTATGATTGAGTTGGCAGGTAGTCGCGTATTGGCTGGGTGGCCGAGTCGCTTCTGTTTGAGTGACGAGAGGCAGCGACGGATCCGCGGCACTTGATCGTCGTTTAACATTGTCATTTGAGTGATGTACAAAATCCAGACAAGCTTTGCTTTAGGGTTGTGCCGCTTTGTTCATCGCTTAGCAGGTGCGTACGTTTTCTTGCCGTGTACTCAAAAGGCGCGTTTTTGGTGGCTCGAGGACTCAAATAAGGCGTCCGGTCCTTCAAACGAAACGATATTAAGAATTCAGATATTCTTAATTAACTTCTGAATATCTCCGCTGCTTTTCCTGGCAGGTGGAGAGCGAGGGCCCCCTGTCTTTCCTGGACGACCTGAATAACAGCGCGGGCATCGACGCCAAGACGCTCAAGTTCTGCTACGACCGACTGCACAGCCTCATGCTCACGCTCGAGATCACTGACACAGAGGAATTCCACCACCTCACCGTGAGTCCTTGTTGTTTGGGAGTTTGGGCTTCACGTTTTTCTCATTTGATGGATTCCATCCGTACATTCTTCGAGCACCTTTCGTGCAATCGTTTCATGCTCACGCTTGAAGTTATCGACATCGAGGATCCCACCATCTCTCTTTGAGTCTTTGCGTTCTGGGCTCTTCGACTTGTGTATGTTTGCACCTGTTAAAATTCGCTGTTTAATCCTCGCATATGGTGCTTCCGAGCACGTCCCTTGCGACGCTTTTACTGGCTGGTAACGGGGTTCACCGCACCCTAAGACCAGGTGTTGCCAACAGAAGGAGCAGTCGCTCACGCTAGCAACGTACGAGGCATGCGGCTTCATTTATGAATGAAGGGTCCGATTCCAACATTTCGCCGCTGCGAAGGATAGTGCTTGACTCCAAATCTGATTCCCTCCTGTCAGGCGATGCCTGAACAAGCTGAAACCCGGTTTCACAGCAAAGCTTGACGTAGACCTCGACAAAAAACATTGTCAATGTGGACACTGAGTATTTTTAAATGCAGTTAGTATGCGAAATCGGGACGTTGGTGGGCACCTACTTCGCGATCATCATCGAGCCGTTCAACTTGCAGAGCTTGTCATTCTTTCCGACACCTTCAAACGTGTTCGCTTCTTCTCCTGCAGCTAGTATGCGACTTCGGTACGTTGGTGGGCACCTACACGCAGGGCTTCGCGATCATCATCGAGCCGTTCGACGAGCGCATGCCGCACATCTCGGACCCCGTGATGCAGCTAAGCTGCCTTGACTCCTCGCTCGCCATCAAGCCCGTCTTCGAGCGCTTCCAATCGGTGAGCGACACGTGGCACGCGTTCATTAGCTTAGCTTTTGCAATTACATGGTGGGCAGCTTTGATTGAAGTCGACCGCTGGTGGTGGCGGCGCAGTCTACCTCTCTCGTTTGAACACTAGACTTTGTTGGCACTGGGATGTTTCGGCGACTTGCCCTAGCCGCCTCTCTATCGGTTGTCTAGCTGATCAGAGTCTGAGCCGAGGGGGACCATCGCACTCCTGTGTAACTGCTCGTACGGCGTCGTAAAGCAAGATGTGCATAAAAGTTGTCACCACCTTTTTAATCTTCTCTTCGACCAATTAGTAACGAGGGTTGATGATCGATTCCCGCCGTCCGCAGGTCATCATCACGTCCGGCACGCTGAGCCCCATTGAGCTGTACCCGCGCCTGCTCAACTTCAACCCGGTCACCATCCAGTCCTTCGCCATGAGTCTTACGCGAGACTGCCTCTGCCCAATGGTCCTCTCCCGGGGCAGGTCCGTAGAACAACTTTTTGCTCTTCATTCTCCGCAATGTGGCAGAACCCGTTCACGCAACATTTCTGATGGTGACGATGTTTCCTCTCTAATGAACCCGTATAAGCAAAGTCGCCCCATGGGTTCGGAGACGGATTGCTGATCGCTGCGCTTTCTTTGATAGCATCAGCTTCGACGCTTGCGGCAAGTCAGGCGCGTTCTCAATCCTCTAAATTGACACACCTACTAAAAGACGATAGCGCTCTTTCCTTGAAAAAAATCGTTTTGTCAGTACGCAGCGAGCAGCTCTCTGTACGCAAGAATGCAATATGCGCAGGGATCCCGACCTGCACAGCTGGTGGACCCTGATTCAAGAATCTTGCTCTTTTGTTCATACAAGCCTCTTAGCCAGTCCGTCCTGTGGTGACAACCCTTTTTCTGTGTCAATTTTGCAGCGACCAGCTCCCGGTGAGCACCAAGTTCGACATGCGCAGCGACCCGGGGGTCGTGCGCAACTACGGGCGGCTACTGGTCGAGATGGCGCAGGCGGTCCCCGACGGCATCGTCTGCTTCTTCGTTTCGTACTCCTACATGGACGCCATCATTAACAGCTGGAACGAAATGGGCATCCTTAAAGTGAGTTCCGGTCAACTCCTTCGCTTCAAGGGCGGACGTTCTTTCAAATGGAGAGGCGGAGATGCCGGTGTGCGTTACAAGCACCTGGAACCAACAGCGGGATTCGTTTAGTTCAACAAAAGCTTTAAAACTTCGCGCTCGCCTGATGAACAGCAAGCGAAAGCTGCATGAACGGCTATATACGGCTGATAAAATCCTCGAAAAACGCAAAACGTACGTCGCACATTTGATGTCATCCTAGAGAGTTTGGCTCAGAACGCTTCTCCGCTCACTGAAAATCATGCAACACAAGCTAGCGATTATGTTGAATCAAATCCAGGACGCGGTCGAGAGGATGCTCGCGGATAAGACGTTGGCAACTGACGAAGTATAATGATGGAAGTCGCGTATTTCGTGTGACATATAGCTCATAACGCCCTCGATTCTCCTCCCACCATAGGAGATCATGCAACACAAGCTAGTGTTCATCGAGACCCAGAACGTGTTGACACGACTCTCGCGGACAAGACATCGGCAATGGACGAATCTATTAAGTGAAGGCGCATATTCCGTTTCACATATAGCTCATAATGCTTTCACTTTTTCTCCGACTACAGGAGATCATGCAACACAAGCTGGTGTTCATTGAGACCCAGGACGTGGTCGAGACCACGCTCGCGCTGGACAACTACCGGCGCGCGTGTGACTGCGGCCGGGGCGCCGTCTTCTTCAGCGTCGCCCGGGGGAAGGTCGCCGAGGGGATTGACTTCGACCGGCACTACGGGCGGCTGGTCATCATGTACGGCGTGCCGTTCCAGTACACTCTATCGAGGTGAACTCCCATTTTTCGTGAGTGGAAGTTGGGTCTCGCTATATGTCACGGCTGGTCATCATATATGGCGTTTCGTTCCGAGGTAAGCCCCCAGTGACCCCTGTTTCCTGTATAGTTGCTTGTTCGTCCGACGGAAGCCCCCCTTTTAAGCTGCAGAAATACTCAAAAGCAACCGGTCCGGTATGGTACCGTCCGTGCTCGACCACTTCACAGGCACGTGCCGGTAATTGTAGCAGGGTTAGAGGGACGTTGTCCAAACCGACGTTGGATCCGCAGTTCTGGTCGACGGAGAACATGTCGGAAGGCGCCGCTTGTTCACAGGCTGTCTTGTGCCCTTGCTGCTATGGAGCCACGGTTCTTCAAGGTTCTACAGTCTGCGAAGTTTGGCCAGCTCTTATGAACCATTGCGCAGTGTCGCTGCACCTCCCTTTTGCTTTCCTCCCGCTTGTATCCTGCATTTGCCCGTCAGAGTGAAGGTGCTTCCCAAACTTCATCTTACCTACAAACAAACGAAGGAAAAATGGAGTTCGTGTCCCCGATTCACAGCCCCTTCTTCATCTCACTTACAGCCTCAAAACGGTCTAACATCGTCTTCCTTCCACGCAGGATCCTGCGCGCGCGCCTCGAGTACCTGCGCGACACGTTCCAGATCAAAGAAAACGACTTCCTGACGTTCGACGCGATCCGGCAGGCGGCCCAGTGCGTCGGGCGCGTTATTCGGTCCAAGTCGGACTACGGCATGATGATCTTCGCAGACAAGCGGTACCAACGGCACGACAAGCGGTCCAAACTGCCCAACTGGATTCTGTCGCAGCTCAAGGACAGCCACATGAACCTCAGCACCGACATGGCGCTACACATCGCACGCGAGGTGAGTGACACCTTGACGTGTTTCCTTTTTGGGTATAAGCGTTTTGCTCAACTGGCCTCATTCTAAGATCCTCATTCGGAGTAGCAGGTTCATCATGAACCTGAGCACCGACATGGCACTCCGCATTCCGCGTGTGGGTGGTTGAGGATTTCTAGAGATCTCGTGTTAGAGATTACGAGGTGTCCAATGCTGTTATGGTTACATGATTTCACGTCAGCTGAGCTTCTCTCGTAAGTAAGAAATTCTCAAACGAACTTGAGCGCCGACTTGGCGCTTCATATCGCGCTCGGGGCAGGCGATAGGCGGGGTTTTAGTGTTTCCCAATTCAAAGGTTTTCACTGAAATTGCCTCGGGTTCCACTGAAATTGCCTCGTGTAACGAAGTCTTTTACGCGTGAACCTGAGCACAGACCCGGCACTCCGTGTCAAGGTGGGCGGTGATTCGGGCTTCGAAAGCTTCGGATCGAAGGGGACTTTGCTTGTCTAACCCAACAGTTGCCGGTGATTTGATTTGAGTTTAGGTCCTGGTAAACCAAACAAATTCATGTGAGTCTGAACAGAGACATGCGCTCCATACCGGACACGCGGCGAGCATTGTCAAAGGTTTAGGGCCTCGTCTCCAACGGTCGTCCACCTGCTTATTGTAGCTATGCAAACTCAAGTGTTGAAATGGTCATACCTAATTACTAACAAGAAGCACAGAGAGGGATCAAATTCGCAGTATGTACGCAAAGTACTCCACTTCACGGTCGGTCAGCCCCAAGTGAAACCGTGTTCTTCTGCCGTGCAGTACTTACGCAGAATGGCTCAGCCTTTCGACTCCCTGAGTGTGGATACCGGGACACTTCTCAACGAGGCCGCCCTCCAACGGCCGCAGCCGATGGAGGTTGGATGACCGTCGGTTTTTTTGCGTTTAGTAAAAGTTAGGAGGTTAGGAGAGTATGGTTAGGAGGTTAACTGAGTAAAAGAGCGGAAGGAAGGGGGGAGCCTCGAGGTCAGTTCTTGCAAGCTGCGTTCCGCTGGTCGGAAAGAGGTGATTTAGGAAGGTGAAACGAGCACCGTAGTGGTTCAGTCAGCATAGAGGTACATCAGAGCGTCAAAACGAGATCATGACCGACAATTGTGCGGACATTGGAGGTTTGAACAGAGGCATCAAAGATGCGACCAACGGGGTGCAAGTTTGACCGACTCGAGGGTCCGGTCTGTCTTGGTGTGCCATTGATTCATGTCTTCGTAGCGCTTACCGGACGCAGATTGCAGCCGGTATCTAGCATTCTCAGGCACGCGCAAGACCGCAGCCAAAGGAAAAGAATTTTCCCACCCGAACGCTGGTCTCGCTAGCATACGTCTCAGTGCATCAGACCATAAAAGGCGGTGGCAAGGAGCTACGTTTGGACTAAAGTAGCACACGAAGATTCGGTGGTAGCTAGGTGCTCATATCTCAAAACATTGATTTCCATGTATGTATGCCCCCTGTATGCCACGGAAGCCTATGGCCCGTGTGGCTACGGCGTTTTGAAAAAAGAACATCATGTGCGTGATAGTCTGGAGAGGCCTGCGGGCATGTACGGAAATCCTACAGAGTCTGTCACTTCTTTCGCTTTGCAGGCTTAGCTGTTGCACGTCTGTCATCTGTGTGCAGCAAGCGCAATCATGCAAGGCTTTGACAATGAGACTTGCGGTTGTGTGCAAACTTCGGTTGAATGTGCCGAAGCTAGACCCACTCGCGGCCGCCCGGGCGCCGCGGGCCCGCCGCTCGTCACCGGTTCCGACGAACGCGGGCGGCTGCGCCCCTGCACGATGAAACATTCTGGACATTCAAGCTGATTCGACTGCCAGATTACTCAATACCCCGGGCTTGGCATCCGCCTAGCCGGTACATACCGAAGCTGCGGCGGTAGCAATCGCAGGGCCGTTCATTGCTGTTGTTGAGTCCCTGAGGTACGTACTGGGACCTGTCTACCTGGCGACATTTCGGGGAGCCGGGGGGCCGGGCCGTGCTCAGTTGCATAATGTAACACAACACCTGGCCCCCCAAAGCGTTTCTCCTGAGCTGTTGTGTTGGTCAGCTTGTCTTCACCGGCCACTCAACCACCCGTGATGTCGCGAGAAAGGGCCCCCGGCTTGGATTTTGTCTTCTTCTGAGCCCCCCTCAATATCATCGTAGATCACTCCGAGTCCGAAGCATTGTGCTGGTATAAATCTAATGCCATTGCTTTCTCCACAGCCAACTGGGCAGCCAATTGGCATGTTTTGCAGGTTTTCAGAACTCCAGATGCTCGAGGCAGGCGTTTTCAAAGCAGCAGCATTGTGTGCATCTGTGTAGGGCACCTTGCGATGGTTCTCTAGCGGTCAACTTTCCAGCTTTGTCTTTCAGGGGACGTCGGGCAGCATGAGGAGCAAGGAGGATGACGAGCGGAATGTGTTTGACTCTCAGGGCAAATTGGACCGCGACAGGCCGTCACCGAGAGGTTCTCTCAGCGATGCCTGGAAAAGTCGCGCCAAGGTGGCAGAGGGAATGCTGGGAAGCAGTGGTTTCAAAAAAGTGAACTCGGTAGCCCTGTGCTACCTTTTTGTGCTGCTGCTCATTGTCGGGCTGTCCTTTCAGCATCATATGTCACAGAGCTTGAAGCTCAGCAGGCTCGCACGGTCAAGGTAAGCACACCGCTATGGTTCTCAGGGGAGAAGTTTTTGTTACGTCCTTTACTTGTGTATATCCCTCATTATGTGATATTGAAGGTCATGGCTCCTTCCTCACTGTGGTGACGCACTTTTGTGGAACTACCGGCAATGTGAACATTGATGACTGTTGAGAGGTCCATTGCATTCTGTACTTGCAGCTCCTTTGCCGAGCTTGTGATCTTGCAATCTCTGGGCCCGTTGCAGAATATCATGGACACCAGTGAAGCCAGTTCAGAGGTCCCATTCTGTAGCCCCTTCCAAGATTGTGGCATTACGTTTAGTTTCCTATCACACCAGGCGAATGTTTAGGATTGCCTCAATCAAGTGGTTGGAAACCTGGTTGATCACCACTTCTTTCTTCGCCTGCAGCAAGCAATGGGAGAGCTTGTACTCACAGTCATTGGAGGAGATAATAGATTGGAAGAGAAAACTGGAGCAAGAGAAGAAGCTGGCAGCAGAGGTGATGCGCAGCACGTCTCAGTGCTTGAACTCTTGGGTGGTCGCAGTCCTAGTCGTATTGACACTCCCATCATTTTAAAGTGCTCGACTGCTGCCCAGTGTTAGAATCGTTGGCCCGACAACCTGCCAACTCAGACGCATCAAAAGATATAACTTATGAGAAGAGTTGCAATGCCTCTGGAAATGTTCTGCAGTGGGTCAGTTGTACACAGGCATGCCCAATGCTGTGCAACCAGCCAAATGGTGGCACCTCTATACTCATATCACTTTCGGATGGGTGGTGGTTCAAGTGGTTTTACTGGGTTTACTGGTTTTACTGGTTTTCAATCCCTACACAATCAGATTATCCGCGAGCACTGATGGCTTGACCATCTCATATTGACACCGATGTTGCCATCGCAGTTTGCCAAGAACGCCGACCTACTGGAAGGCACTCTCAAGCGGGTTAGGGAGGAGAAGAGTCGTCAAGAAGAGGTATTATGTATGAACAACCTTATGTCTCCTTGACAATCCTTCTACATCGACCAAGAAAAAAGAACATTTTGCCTTGTCACCAGTCTACATGAGCATTCTTTTCTGATGCTGTTGCACCACCGGTTGCAATGTGCAGGAAGACCGCATACTCCTGCCCCGCGGTAATCCCCTAGGCTGCCAAAAGCATCCCAAATCATGTCCCCTATGTTGCACACTCCAATGCAAAGTGCAAGTTGAAAGCAAGTATGTCGGTGTTGGGCCGTCTCGCTCACAAGAATGTGCAATCATGCAGTGTCTCTGGATTGCAGGAAGCAGTGAAGCTGCAAGTGGACGTTGCCAGCAAGGACAAACTCAGGGAGCAACTTGAGCGCAAGCTCCAGTAAGTGCATCGCACAAATTCGAATCTCTCTTAGGCAGGCGATGATGATGGGTGTTCTGCGTTGGTCCAGACTTTGATTTTCCATTGCAAAGAGTATTTGCAGGCTACTGTTTGAACTTGAACGTTGTTGATGTTGCTGCAAAGGATGGCTTTTGGCGGAATGAAATCCTTTCCGAGAACTGGAGAGGGGTTGACAGTGTGCAAGAACTCTCAAAGAGGCCAAAGTGGTACTATTTTTTGGGAAGACTAGCCTGTACGAGTATTCACCAATTTTTGCAACTCCTGTTACTCCAATAAAATGAGCGGACTACTACCTGTCAGCAAGAGGCTTTTCATTCTAACATACTTCTGGGATCGAAGGAAGATTGCCACACAAAAGCTTGACAAAAGAGCAGAATCCTAGAACCAAAGAAAATCTTAGACTAAAGTCCCTTCATGGGACGTTCTGGAACCAAAGGAAGTTACCAAACGTGTTCACCCCCTATCTGCAGGGAGTCAGAGGACTTGTCGCAGACACGGCTCCAGGAGGTCCAGCAAGAGGTGCAGGTCAAGAAACTAGAGTCGGAGGCAATGCACCGCGAGCTGGAGGAGATGAAGCAGGCCGTCAAATACCATAAGGACACCATCGCAAGGCTGGTAAGCTTGCTTCCGTCTTAGCTTTGCTTGTCAATAGGTCCATTCAAACGAAACTGCGCACAGGTAGGCGAAGCAGGCTGTGATGATCCACCGCATTGCGGTTCAGCACCTTTGGAGCTCTTTAAAGATGTTGAGAAGACCCTTTTCTACTCATGCTGCCTTTTGCCTCCGTATTCCCTGATCTTCATGAAGAGAGCGGAAAAGGTGCGGACCATGTCATTCTGTATGCGCCACGACAACCTACTTTGCATCTCAAAACGCGCAAGGTGATCGGGGCCAGATGGAGGCATGTGGTTTCCGAAGCTTTCCAAAAGAAGTCGATCGACGTCGTTTCTTCGCACGGAACGCACTCTTACTCTTTTTTCGGGTCGAAAGATTCTCGAGTGTCGCTCACCTAAAAGCTGTCACTTTTTTTGTTTCATCGCCGGATTAAAGCTACAAAATGTGCTCGTACTAAGTCAAACAGTAGCAGAGATCTCTCCGTCGGATTCGAGTCTGTTCGTTGAGGTTTGAATGTTTCCCTCTCGTTTGCGGGTGCAGAACGCCGATAAGGAAGTGCTTGCAACGGGCCAGGTGAAAGCAGTGGCGGCTGCTGACGCGGCAAAGAATAAGACCGCAGCAATGGAGGTCGCCGTTCGGGAACTGCGGGACGAGCTTAAGAATGCAACCAGGCACAGCATCTATCTCGAGGAGCACGTAAGCTCTTTTTCTTTCTTTTACTTTACTTTTCGTTCTTTCCCGATCCAGGCGTTCCGTCTCAAGTCCTTGCTTGTCATTCTCACACACGCACTGCAGCTCTGCTTCAGACTCCTTTACGATACCCCATTTCATCAGCGAGTTTGATTAACTTTTTACAAAAGCACAAGCAGAAGCCAAGAAAGGACTGCAAAGCACGTGACGTCGTGAGAACCAAACACTCACAGCGGCTTCTTAGAACGCAATCCTGCGTATCCCCCATGCGAATGACAACCTTTGAGCATATGTGAGGTTGTAAAGCCTGTCTCCCTTCTCAAGCTGGATTCGAGCATTACTCAGCACAATGCGCCTAAGCGACATTAGTGATAACCGAGCGGATCTTCAAATCAATCGGTTCCACAGCTATTTGCGTCAAACTTGCCACTTCATTCCAATCTTCGAGTTGTGGTCTGCAATCTCGAGCCGTCAGATGCCGTTTTGTTGTCGATCGAACGGTTCAAGAACAGGATTAATGCTCCGAGGATTTGAAACTCATGGCAAACATGACCCAAACAGCTGCGATATGTTCAGCAGATTACGTCCCACGTCCAGTATAAAGCTGGCGAGCCTAGTAGTTTCTGGTCAACGCGGAACCTTCTGTCACCTTTTCCAGGTGACGTCGTTAACCGAGAAGAATAAAGTCCTGGAGACAGAGGCGCGCTCCAAGCTGGACTCGACCGCGAAGCGGATGCAAGACGAAGTCGACGCCGCGAACGCGAGAGTGGACGCGGCGCAGCAGGAGAAGCGCGCGCTGGAGGAGCGCGTCGCGCAGCTCGAGAGCAAGCTGGAGTGAGCAAAATTGTCTTGCAATCGCTTCCAACTCAAGGAAGAATGGCTCATTTCCCAGCGGCAACTGCTGACGTCAGCGTAAGATTCGGGAATGTTGCGTTGAAGCGCGTGGGCTTGAGAGGGTAATGTCTAGTTTGAAGGTCGCAAGGTGGACTTCCTTGACCGATTGCAAAGCTGGTGTCGCTACCCTCTATCAGTGGCGACGTCTTTTGAGGCATTAGTACTGCAAACGAAAGTACGAGACAGCAACTAAGCCGAACCGGCGCCCTGTCGTTCCGCTTCCATAAAGCAAACATCGACGCGTATGATTTGGGTCTGACTCGCACGCCTGAAGTCTGACCCTGGTAGTTAAGCATCTGATCATTTACATGACCACACTCGACTTTCCGTCCCTCCAGGCAGTCCCAGGCGCGCGTGACGGAACTAGAGGAGGCTGCAGACGCCGCCGAAAAGTCGCGGACGTCTGAGCGGGAGCGGCTGGAGTCCGAGATCCGTGACAAGGAGCAGCGGCTCCAGGAAACGGAAGCGGCGAAACGGAACGAGGAGGCGGAACGGGAGCGGAATGAGGAGGCGGAGCGGAAGCGGAGCGAGGAGGCAAAACGGAAACGGGAAGAAAAGGAAGAAGCAAAGAAGCGGCGGGAAGCGCAAGAGAAAGCAGATGCGGAGGATAGGGCGGCTGCAGAGGCCTCGGAGAAAGAGGAGGCTCAGAAACGGAACGCGGAAGAGAAGGCAGAAGCGGACGCGGCGATAGCGCGCAAGCAGGAGGCTGCGCGGAGAGCGGAAGCGGAACGGAAAGCGGCAGCGGAACAAGAGGCGGAGGATCAGCCAAACCCGGAGAAGCAAAAGGAGATGGTGCTGGAGGAGATTCGAAAGGTGAAGGCTTGATATTGCGACTTGCTTGCAAACGGCTCCGATTGTAAGAAATTGCAAATACTAGATTGGCCGCATACCAACTGAAGTCTTTTCTGCCGAACGCAAGCTAAGAAGAGTCTTCGAACTTCGGACACAGCTGGAGCGCTTGACTTACTCTCCATGGCCCTTTGTCTTGCAAAAAAGGTTTTCCTTGTTTCCACCCACTATTGCTGTCAGATGCGAAGAGTATGATGAGAACTGTTTCAATCAAAGGACTTTTTGCTCGCTGCAGAAACGGTTACTCGGTGTTGCGTCCCCTAAATCTCCTTGAAATGACCCAGCATTGATTTGACAAAAAGTGCGGAGGAGTTTAGGAACTGAGTCTTAGTGTTCACCGATCGGACTCGTGGCTCTTCGGTTTCGGACCCATTGGTAGAGCGAGCTTTTATTAGTCTGTGAGGAGGTCACGACCTAATGCAGAAGAAGAATACCTGAGGAAGGGAGTTTACAGGAGTTAAGCTGCTTCTTTGCACACCTGAACGTCAATCCAACCGAAAAATTGGAGATCAGCTCTGCCATGCCGCAAAAGCTGGCGCATTCGAGGAGTGAGTTTCGCACCTCTTGCTCGTGCATGGCGCGTTTGAGAAGTGTTGACTAGAGTTAAGAAGACAGGTCCCTCCGTCCCTTGGTTCGCAGAGATCCTTTCTGAAAAGCTCCTCCGCTCGCAGGACTCTGAAACAGACGAGGGCGCAAGTGATGAGGGCGCTAACGAGGCTTTGTAGATTCAAATCTACACCGCTCTTGTCCCTCTTAGCACACCAAGATATTCCGGACAAAGCATTAACTTATAGAGTCTTTACTTGAGGGTTACAAAGTCACTGTCAGTAGGTGCGTCACGTTTTTGAGCGAACAAAAGACTTTGAGCCATCTGAGACGCAGCTGCGGCTGCGGCTCACTTGGCGACGCTAATCTGGACGGTGTCTTTCCATATGATGCTCGAAGGGCGAAACGATAGTGTGTACATCCCGTGTAGGACTAAACTCAAATTTTACGGACCATATTAAATGGGGGCCTTTGTGCTTGTCTTCTTTTATGCACCGGCCGGTCGTCACCATTGCACGACAAACTAATATCGGCTTCGGCAGCTGCATGTATTGTCACTAGCAGATGCAGTTGGGTGCCGTCACTTTCAGGGTGTACGCTGTGGCCGGTAGCATGATTAGGCCAAATCTCAAAACTCAGTGATACCGCAAAATCCTTTCTCGGGTCCGTTCTGCTCAGCAGACTTAGCATTGTGTATCTATGCAAGATGACGCGTGCAACTGATCGCCTAGGCGTGTCATGGCAGCCTCCCTTTTTTGTCGCGACAGCAGTTTGCAAGCAGCCCCCAATGGTTTGACGAAGATTGTAGGACTGCTCGGAGAAAGCTTCTGGACGTGTTGAAGTGTGAGGGCCCTTCTCACCTCAGTAGTCAGTTAAAGAAAGAGGTTCGGAGCATAGTGAGAAGAAAGAAGCGAGAGTTCAATAAGTATCGCGCAGCAAAACTTGAAGACCAGATGCTGAACAGCCCAAGTAGATTTTGGAAGCAGTATCGCAAGCGCAGAAGGGGTCTCGGTAGTGATCATGAGGCAGGTCTAGTCAGCCATTGCAAAGCTCTTTACGAGCAGTCTGGGGTGGATTGGGAGCCGCCTGGGGGAGCAACGAGGGGGCTTGAGTCCGGGGGTTTGCAAAGGAACGAGAGGGGGGCCAATTCGCGTCTTGAGGCGCAGCTTTCGGAGGCGGAGGTGAGGGCAGCTCTAAGAAGCTTGAAGAACGGGAAAAGTGCGGATCTTCAGGGTTTTACGGCAGAGCTGTTGAAAGCAGGGGAGGACGAGCTGGTCGGGGGGCTTGTTGGCGTCTTCAATAAGGTTTTTGAGGAGGGTGTCTTTCCAGCAAGTTGGAACGAGGGGGTCTTAGTTGCGATCTTCAAAAAGGGGTATCCCTCGGACTATGGCAACTACAGAACAGTAACAGTAGGCCCCGTTCTGGGCAAGCTGTATGCCATGGTCCTGAACCGGAGGATAACGGAGTGGGCAGAAAAGGGGTCGGTGCGGGCACAGGGGCAGGCAGGTTTCCGGCAGGGGTTCAGGGGGACGGATCACATGCTCGCGCTTCGGGTCCTGACGGAAAGGTGTGGGAGGGGCAGGAATCGGCATCTGTTTGCTTGTTTTGTAGACTTCAAGAAGGCCTTCGATGTGGTGCCTCGCCAAAAACTTTGGGCCCGCTTAAGTGAAATAGGGTTGGGAGGGAAGGTCCTCCGGAGTGTGCAGAGCATGTACGCTGGCGTGCGGTGCCGGGTGAGAGGTGAAGGGTGGATCTCGAAGGAGACTTTTGAGAGTAATCGGGGCGTGAAGCAAGGGTGCCCTCTAAGTCCCCTCTTGTTTGGGTTGTCCACAGACGGCTTAGAGGAGCTGATGCGTAGCAGCGCAGGGGACCCAACGCTAAAGGGGGTCGCAGTTCCTCTTCTCTCTTTTGCGGATGACGTGGTTCTTCTCTCAACTTGCGCGGAGGGTTTGCAGAAAAAGCTTGCGCTTCTTGAGAGATTTAGTGAGCAGAGCGGTCTCTCGGTCAACCTCCAGAAGACGCAGGTCATTGTCTTTGGAGGCCAACTCGGGGTTCAAAGGGTGAGGAACGAGTTTCTCTATGCGGGAGAGCGAGTTGAGATCGTCTCCAGCTACCGGGGTATGGCCCAACGTGGGGTCGGAGACCAAGCAGAGAGAGTGCACCGGGTGTTCTTGCGGGGTTTGCTTCGAGTGAGAAAGTCGGCCCTTTCAAAGGCGGTTTTAGGCGAGTTCGGCCGTTTTCCACTGGTGATCAAACGATGGGAGCAGATCTTCAAGTTCGCTAAACGGGTTGAAAGCCTTCCATGTAATCGACTAGCGAAGCTGGCGTTTGAGGAGTCGAGGGAGATGTGGGCGGCCGGTAGCGGGGGCTGGTTCGCAGCGATAATGGAAAAAGCTCAAGAACTGGTGTCGGAAGGCCAGCTAGCGGGAGCTTATGACGTTGAACTCCTTCGCGAGCGTTCAGAACTTGCGTACATGCAGGATTTGAGAGAAGATTATGGCCGAAAATTCTGCACATACTTTGAGTGTGTTAAGCAAGGGTACACGTTTGAGCCCTACTTAGATGATCTAGCACATTCCCCGATTCTGTTTGCACTTGCACGTTTTAGGGTCGGCGCTCATACTCTAGCTATAGAAATTGGTTCGTGGCAAAGGATAGAGCGTAGTCAGAGGAGGTGCTTGGTATGCAATTCGGACAGTGTTGAAGACGAAGTCCACTTCGTCTTTGACTGTCCAGCATATGACGACTTAAGAGCAGCGTTTCAATTTTTGTTTGGAGACATAGGGCAGGATTTAAAAGCATTTTTGAACTTGCAGGACAAATATCATGTAGGCCAGTTTCTTTACCTTAGCAACCAAAGGAGGGCTAGTATATTGCAAGGGTTGAGCAATAGATAGATTCGTCGACTAAGCCGATCGCGGCTCCGAACCGACGTTAATAAAACAATAATAATATAATAAATTCTCGATCGTCGGAGAAGTTTAGTACCATCAATGATTTGAAGCTTGAGCTGGCGGCCATCCACACTGTCAGATTGCCTGCGCTTGGCATGCTCCATCTTGATTTTAATGATTGAGCATGCGTGTGGTAAAACTACAAATACAAATTTACGAAACCCCATGGGCGGCGCCGCGCTTGCGTATATTGCATGATGACAGTGACAACCTTGCAAGTGCAAGGCGAATTTATGCCGCCAACAAGATCGAGGCCCACTAGGCGGCCGCCTGCTGTAGCTCACGTACTACTCGAAGCCTGTGCTTGAAGTTTACATCACGCACAACATGCATGGACCGTCTCGCGTCTGGGCCCTATTTTAGAATTCTGACGTTTAGTCAGCAAGCTACTCAGTGCAGTCAAACCTTGGTCAATTTGCGTTTTAGGGTTTTAGGGTTTTAGGGCCCTAAAACCCTAAAACCCTAAAACCCTAAAAAGCGCCCAAAAGAAGAGAGCAATCCCCGTGACTACCCACTTTTGCGACGAGTTAGTTACTGAGTCAGCGTAGTAAAAGAAGGCGACTGCGGTGGTGGAGAGCGGGAAGACGAAAGCCCACCACGCAAGCGAGAAGGTAATGCGCAGCACCAAGTGTGCGCGCGTGGCCTGCAAGGATGTGCGAAAGCATGACGTCAGCTTTCCGTTCGGCACACGCAAGGCGGCGCTCGCGTAATCGGAAGTAACATATTTAAGGGATGTGTGCTGGACAGGTCTGAATGAAGTGGCTAGATTCAAGAGGCTGGTTGGCGGGAAGCTCAAGAGTGCAGAACATCTCAATCACTGTAAAGAAGAGTTATGTCAGCCTACAAAAAAGGACGACATACAGACCCTGTTTTAGGAACCCAAAACACTTGAGTGAACTAATAGGACAAACCATAGGCGTATTCCGCTGATTGCACGTCCTTTCCAGCACCAAGGACCCAGTTGCTCATTCACTCAGAGATACTCATTAAGAAAAAGCGGGGTTGGCTTAGTCTACCCGAGTAAAGCACGGCAGGGTCAGCTTAACCCACCAGAACCACGAAAAGCCCCAATGCGATGAATGCGAACCCTTTGGACAGGCTGTCGAAATGGCCGGGCCCCTGAATCTTTGACCAGGCTGTAGCCGCCATCGCGGGGGGGCTGATGAACAGGAGGTATAGCGGGCCGAGGGGGGGAGGGAGGCGCTGCGATTCGCTCGGCCGCATGTAAACGGTGGTGAAAACGACCACCCAGTGAAGAATTCTGCAGATATTGTGGACGCGGCTTTCGTTTATCTTCAACCGTTGAGGCGCGGAAAACTTTTTGCGAAATCCAGCGTACGATGGGAAAGACCCACCCGCTACTCTAGGAAGGAACCCCGGAGCATTTGCAGTTGACGGGACATCACTTTCCACGAAACAAAGCATTGCTTGAGTCTTATCCTCAACCATTGCTCGGGCTTCTTCATGCTTTTCTTCGGCCTTCTTCGATTGAGTTCGCTTGTAGTCTAGGCCAAAAGAAAAGGATCTGAGCAGGAATCCGGCACCCTTCTGTGGTCTAATGCCATAAATTCTCGAATTGATGGACTTCGTGTCTTCAAGCTTTCTGCCCCAACCTTTGATCCAAAAAGAACGACGCAAGGAATGGTCATAGGGCTCTGCTGGAATCCTACGTTTCCAAATAACAACTCTAATGTTTGACGTGAGCCAGAAACTCGGAAGTTAAGTACCAGCCCAAGTGAGTGCTTCATAGCCTATACGTAAACGGCAAGAAAGAGCACAAGCCCAAATAAAGTGATTCATTGCCTAAACGTGGACGGTAAAAAAGACGCTTACCCGAACGAAAACATGAAGAGCGCGGGATCGCGCCACCCCGCCCCCGCGAAAGCGAGCGCCGATGCGAAGTTGCCAACGTAAGCGATCTGCGCAATTAAGTTGATCAGCCTCGTCTTAGTGGCGCTTAGCAAAGACGTTCCAACGTGTCAAAGCTTCACTCTTTGAGCAAAGTTCAGAGCGAGTCGAGAACCGTAGAACAGAAGGTTGACGAGTCTCTCAAGAACGGCGGCCCCCAACCTGAGTGGCTGCAGTAGCGGTCGCTCCGAGCCTGCCCTCGCACGCATAGATCCATCGACTGTACAGCAGAATCTCCCAGGCCAGAAGGGGGATTGTGAAGCCAAGCGCGACGCCCCAGTGTATCGTCTTTCCCGGCCCGTAGATGCGGTCGGTGATCTCCCCCGGGGCCCCCAAGCACAGCAGGAGAGCTGCCCACCAAGGGGCGATCAGAAAGTTGGTGCGGATCGGGCGAAACTCGAGACGAACCGCCTGCGGAGAGGGATCCCTTCGCGTCGTGCTTGGCTCCGAGTCGCGTCACTTGAATATCTGCTTCGATTTTCTTGGGGTGAATTATATTGGTGGTCCCAAGAAGCGCTTCTGAGTGATGGTAGTGGATACATATTCCACACGACAGCCCCGTTCAAGTAAGTTTCTTGAAGTCGACCCAGGTACTTGAATCCCGTAGCTGTTAAAGCAGAAATTGAGCTCGAACATGTTCGGCGCTCTCACTCATGTTCAACCATATTCGATCCTGTTCGAGACGGTATATAGCTGAGACGACCAGATTTTAAGCAGGCATGTGGCTTGAATTGGCAGAATAGCCGACTTCCTGGCCAAAAACGGGACGGAAAAGAACTTCTATGTGATCCACATGGATACTATTTGCGGAAAAGATGTTTTAGCTGCTAAAGCTGAATACGAGTCGCACCTGAGGCCAGATGAGGAACTTAAGGAGGTACGTGACCGACGTGATCGGAAGGAGCACCACTCCGGCGCACCAGATCCCGAGCGGAATTCCGCTGGGGATGTGGAGGAAGCGAGTCGCCGGAAGGGTTGTGAGCTGCTGCCAAAGCACTGTCTGGCTGCCGATGCCTGAGCACAGGCAGGGACACTATTACAGACGCAATTAGAATCATCGTTGAGGGTGCTAATACGTTCCAAAAACCTCGGAGATAATTGACTGGAAGCAGGGAGACTACAACAGCAACTGTTTTTTGCTATAGCTATAGAAAGTGTGAATACTTGCGAGAGGACTATGACATCCCTTGGGGAGCTGCTATTCAAAATCATTGACCGCAGGAACGCACCAATAGAGAGAGCGCAACTGTGAACCGTGATGCTCGGCGACCTCCAAGCCCGCTGTGCAGCGGGCCGGTCGCCTCAGTAGCTACCAGGTGGTCAAACCAGTGGCAATCGAGGGGCAATATTTGCAGTGTTGCAGACGTGGAAGAGGTCTTGTGGGCCAATCAAGTACTTACTAAAGATCGACGAAGATGGACGAACAGTCCGGGATTTCAATTGGCCCTTACCTAGATTCATGCCGAAAGCCGTCACGCGGAAGCGCAGCAGGAATGGCATCTTCTTCGGCGGCTGCTTTCGTTCCTGTTCATCACATTCGCTCTATTAGACTGCATCCAGACCTTTGTTGAGCGCATTCAACAAAGAAACAAGAAAGGAAGTGAAGAATACTTGTTGCCTGTCCTGTAAGCGTTGGGGTGTGTCCTCAGGAGCCAGCAAAAGCACACCAGGAAAAGCTTGAGCCTTGTGGGACTGGAGAAGCACAAAAGGGTGACATGGAGCCAGCAGATGCCAGATGAAAAGACCGCCACGAAACTGGACAAAGCACATCAAGCAGCCAATACAAAACTTCAGAAGTCTACAGCCTAAATGATATCAATCAGGTTTCTTTCATAGTTGAACCAAAGCAAAAATAGAACTGGACCATAGAACTGGAATATGTAAAACCGCAGAGTAAAACAAGCAAAGGAAGTATCGTGTGCTTGCGGGCCCACCTGCGCCAACGTTCCTGTTTGAATGCTATCTATGTCCAGTGTGCTGGAAACGTGCAGTCCTTTCGTTTCTGCATCATCTGAGCGCTCCTTCTCGGTTGCAGAGTCACCGGTCCTATTGGCTCGGATTCCCATTCTGGACGTCTTTGCTCACATACCAATCTTCCTCTCCTTGTCCGCAAATGTAAGCGCTACAAAGTAAGTTACAAAATACCCATCAAGCATTCAGGCCGCCGCGCATATGCATTCATGGAAGCGCGCAGGATGCTTCTCGAACACCGCTGCAAAGGTCCTGTTTCCGTATCTAGAAGGTATACAGTGCACTCTCGCAACAGCACAAACGGTTGGTTGCTCGTCTCATCGTCCTTCTTTCAAGTCATGCACGCTGTCACTGCGCTCCTCCGACAAAGCATGAGAAACCCACCATGACTTGTAGGCATGTGCGGTTACTGATTTGCAGAGTTCGATTTGAATCTCACGCCCTTTCGATCAGCGTTAGGAATGGCCATCAATGCAACTAGAGCACATAAGCTTACCATTCGTAGTACTTAAACACGCAAGGACCGGAGCTGTTGCATCCCCTGGCGCCATGGCGGCTCGCAATCGAGAAGCATGCATCTTCCAGCTCAACGAGTTTGCATGGCCGCTGGTGCACGGGGCGCTCGTGCGCGGCCGCGTTCTTCCGTACAGCGCGCGCGCGCGCGCCGAGCCATGCAGCTAGCTAGCCGACTGGCGGTAGCGGCGCGGCCTGCACGCGAGCAACAAATGAAGCCGCGTCAGATCATGCACGCCCAATTGAGGAAAGCGTGCGCGCGCGTGCGTGCGCTGTTACATGCTTTTATAGAGCACCAATTAACTTTCTTACGTGATGTGGTCAGTATATCGTATAAGGACCATACGGTAGTAGTGTGGGAAGTTCACTGCACGTGACTGTACGACCTCGCATCTTTACTTCAAAAGTAGGCAATGACCTGCCCTTAGAAGTGACAACAGCCTCGTCTTCAGTTCTGCTAGATCCGGCCTGCCATTTCTCACGAAAGGTTCACAGGGCGAGACTGCAATTTCCCAGATCGTTTTCTTGAGCTTATAGGAGTGGCGTCTAAATATGGCTGCAGTAATGTCATAGATCATCGGAAAATACCATCATATTGCACATGCCGTTATAAGAAGGTTCGTGTCACTAGCACGGCGTCACCCATTTTGAGCAACCCGCAAATGAACCAGTCTTTTCGTTCTGCTCAATGCCGTCTAGCTCAATATTGTACATTTGCATCCACGATCAACTCGTTTTTCCTGGACTTCAACTCGTGTGCTCAAGTTCGCAGTCCTAGCTCGCGCATGATCTCATCTACAATACTCTTCCAAAAAGCTCTTGCACAGATAAACATTCTAAAAGCTAACCCGTTTTGAGACCCTGCTTCATTGTTCCTCCTCTAGAAGCGACTCAGTAACCTCATCGTCCGGGAACAAAGTCCCTATGCAGAGTTTCCCAAGGCTCACGCACGAGCTAACCAGAAACGCCGCAACTGACGTCGCCCAAAAGAAGAGCGCCAGCGCGCGCACGACCCATCGTTGCCACGTGTCCGGCATAGCGTCCGCATACAACATGAAACTGACGGCGACCGCCGCTGTTGGAAACACGAAGCCCCACCAGGCGAAGGAAAACGTCCAATGGAACATGATCTTCCCCCGGGCAGCCTGCAAGGGTTTACGATTTTAGGGCTTCAGGGTTTTGGGGTTTTGTTGAAGGGAAGGACACGTCATAAATTACAAGGCATACTGGAAGACGCCAACCCTTTCGTACATGATACCAGGGAGAGGTGATTCTGCCGTTCCGGCTGTCAGCACTTTCTCGTACCTTTCACGAGGGGTAAGCATTCGTGGACGAATGAACCCAAGTCCTTCCATTAGCTTTTCTTTCGACTTTAATCGTGTTTTTTGATATGAACGATGGATCAGCTCAACTTCAGTCAGAACAACTCGTGCAACACTACGAAACAACAAGCGAGTAAACCGAACCTTCCGACGCAGGGCTTCAAGGTTGCCGCCGGTTGCTGAAACCACAAGCAGGTCTAACAGCAAGACCGAGGGCCACAGACTGAGCTTAATCTACAAGAATGTGGTCTTATCCACCAAAATGAAACAGAGACCCAGCCCCGCAACGTCGAACTCTTTGAACAGGCTATCCATTCATGGAGCGGCCAGGCCTCTAGATCGAAGATGTCTCAATAGCAACAAGCATCTAACCAAAAAATATGAACGCAATATCTCACCAGCACGAGCAACAAACCGAGCGCCGCGAACGTGAACCCTTTCGACAGGCTATTGAAGCGGCCAGGCCTCTGGATCGAAGCATTTTATACAGCCAAAAACAGCTAACCCAAAAATAAGGAGCGTTAACCCACCAGAACGAGAAACAAACCGAGCGACGCGAACGTGAACCCTTTCGACAGGCGGTCAAACTCGCCGGGCCCCTGAATCTCCGCCCAGGCGGTTGCCACTACCGCCGGGGGGGCGATTAGCAGGAAGTAGAGCGGGGTGAGTGGCCGGGGGAGTTCCTGGGTTTTACCGGGACGCATGTACAGGGTGTTGAAAACGACGAGCCAATGGATGAGCCTGCGAGAAGAGGCGCGGAGATTGTTAGCGCCGGGTGAAGGAAGTGGCTTCTGGTCACTTGAATATATATATATATATATATATATATATATATATTGATCATTTAGTATGTATAGAGCTTGTACTTCATTGACTGTGTAAGACGTCTCGTTTCTAATATCACCGCGCGAAAGCAAAGCCTTTGTCCGAACCAGATCCGAATTGAAAGTGCGGTTCAGATCAAACTCAAACAGGTTCAAATCTAATTCGGACCCGCTTCAAGTATCGTCTTCCGACGATGTGCAGAATACAAACTGGTTTTCTTCGATCCGGCGAAGCTTTGAAGAAAGCGATCCAAGTGAAAGGGGGAGACGATAAGCTTACCCGACTGACAACATGAAGAGCGCTGGATCTGGCCAACCTGCGCGCGCAAACGCGATCGCGGATATGAAGTTGCCTTTAAGCGCAATCTGCGATGATCACGATCAGAAGCGTAAAAACAAAATTCTCCAGTGAAGTTTCAGGAAAGACCGGTTTCGCAGTCCTTGCTTATCTCGGAATGCTGAAAGACAGCGGAAATCATACGCTCGGCCAGACACGAAGTCTAAATGTGCAGATTCAAACCCCGACGTCCGTCATAACACGTCTTTACCAAGCCTAAGGATGCAGAATCAACGTCCAAATTTTGTGAATCAGGCGTGAACATGTCTTTTCCAGCCGCTCTCGTCTCGTACTCTTCAGTCGCAAACAAGAGCTTGAGGGTTGGTCTTTTGACAAACATCATCAAGCGGACCAGTTACTAAGACTCCCAGACGCAATAAGCTAAAGAATGAACGAATTGGACATATATAGACATCCCAAACCGATAATCCGGTCACCTGACAAGCTGGATTCGCGGTTGTGGTCAGCCTATCCTCATAGCCATAAATCCAATGGCTGTAACGCATAATCATCTCCGACGCGAGCAGGGGTATTGAGAAGGCGAGCGCGGCGCCCCAGTGGATCGATTTCCCCTCCCCGTAGATGCGGTCGGTGATCTCCCCCGGGGCCCCCAAGCACAGCAGAAGAGCCGCCCACCAAGGGGCGATCAGGAAGTTGGTGCGGATCGGGTGTTGGAACTCCCGGCGCACAGCCTGAAAAGAAGCGTCGCAGCGAGGGGAGTCCAGGTCTGGCCGTGGAAGAACTAAAAACTTGGCACCGGATTCGTCATCGGGACCGAAAATGAGTTTACCCTTGTTTGTATCTCCTTTTCTTACCCCACCTGTTCAACGATTCAAAGACCACAAGAGGAAGGACCGGGGGGGCCTCGGGGGGCACTAGCCCCGCCTGAATCTAGGTGTGAAAGGAAGAGCGGTGACTCGCACCGGGCAGTAAGTCCTCTCAAATTTAGAACCCGTTTTAGCCCAGCGCAGGGACGTCTCGGTGCAAATCTTGAAGACGGTTCTTCATCACTCCTTGCAGACTTTGACAAATGGGTTCGCGACCCCCGTCAATGGTTGCCGGCAGATGAGCGCCTCTGATTGGTGAGAGAAAGAGCTGCGCAATCGAAGTCGGGGCGGAAACGCTGGTGATATGACAAGGAGCGAAAGTGGTCGGCATTCTCAACCCGGCCAGGGGAAAACAGAGTGCTCAGGAATACAGACTTATTCAAAACTCTGCTCGGTCAGCTCGGGAGAAAGAACGGCGTTCCCTGCATGTTGCAACGACCAACGAGACAAATTTACTTACAACACGTAACAGTCACCTGAACATGCACAAGAAAGCCCTACAAAAGCCACCCTGAGACTAGTAGGACCCCCTTCCCTGTTGAAGCAGCGGCAACAAAGCGGTGTTGATCACTTTGGCCCGTTTCGACAAGGTCAGAGAGGGGGAGACATCAGCAGATATCAAGAGAGTCCCGAACCCAAACACCCCGGCTCCTTTGAATGAATCCGCATCGAACGAAAGCGCCGTCGCAACACGTGTTTCAGCCGTTGCCAAATCGCACATGACCATCGAAATGCTAGCTGTGCTTACCTTGGGCCAGACGAGGAGCTTGAGCAGGTACGTGACTGGTATGACGAAGAGGAGCAGCACTCCCACGCACCAGACGGCGAGCGATATTCCGCTGGGGATTTGCAGGAAGCGCATCGCGGGGCTGGCCCCGATCTGCTGCCACAACAGCGCCTGGCTGCCGATGCCTAAAGAAGACGTAATTCCGGGGGTGGTGAAACAGGTTGCAACGGAGGGCTTTGAACGAGTCGAAGTAGGACGACAATGCTGGAAACGCGAATAGATGGAGGAACGAGAGCGGAAAGGGGAAAGGAAACGAGCGAAAAAGTAGGGTAACGAATGTTCTAAAGATTTCGTAAGGAATTGCCTTCCGAGCAGCTTGAGACTTGCCTGTATGAGCTGCAGAGACGCTTCTAAAAGCGAAGGGAAGCCTGAACGATACGACATTCGATCAGAGGATATGGCGTATATAGATTCAATCGAAATGAGAAAACCTCTGAAGCGGCAGAGAAACGTCTTTCAAGTAGAACGTCTGAACGAGAGTCCGTGAACCATTCTGCCTCAGATGCTGATAATGACGCACGCACACAAGACGTTCTACAGGCTTAAATCCATTATTTTAGAAGGAGCTCACAAGAGAACGGCCGAGCCAAATAGTGTCGGAGTGCAGAAAAAGGATGCAGAGCGCCTACAAGGGATCTGCCCCACAGACGAGATTTTAGGCGGATGACAGAATGCATATAAACCATTAGCTGCAGCTTCCTAGCTTGACAGTGTCCGCAATATGGAAACACGGACACAGAGAAGGGCATTCCAATTGTGCATTGAAAGACCATTTCTTGCAGAGTAATTGCTTTCATAACATATACATTTTTACCCCTGATTGATGGTACACCATGTTCTGGAACAGGAACTTTAAAGGATCCCAAAAGCACCACCCGAGCTTCATTGTGAGCAGACTTCTCAGCGCGTTAACCCACCAAGGACCGAGACCTTGCATAGTGATGCAAGATGATAGGCGTTAACGCAACCACTCACCCAAATTGATACCAAAGACTGTGGCCTTGAATCTGAGCAAGAACGGCGTCTTGAACTTTACCGATCGGTTCCCCTGCAAACTCTTCTGCAAAGCACAAACGTGTTAACGCGCTTCTGCAAAGCACGACTCTGCCTGCCACTTGAAAACGAGGGCCAAGAATCCTCAAGTCATGAGAATAGGCGGTTTTCAACCGGGTCTCCCAGGATGCCTCCACAGAAAACTTCACATTGTCAGTCAACCACTGCTCAGTAAGGGGTCAGTCCTAGTTGCTGCAATCATAACTACTGCGCATTGAAACTATTGAACCGGAAGTAGGATCTACATACTTCAGCCATGCATAGACTCTCGCAAATTGTTCCTTGGTATGAGCCCTGCTGTGACTTGCTGAGCGCCAATCGCAGACTCCTAAACTGAGGATGGCGCACAGAGGGTGTCACTTTTACAATGCAAGAACAGCATCTGGCTAAAGACCTCCGTACCGCAAACATGGGCCAAAGTGGCCATTTCATCCTGAAGATCTCATTTCAAAAGATGATGACCTGATGATGGCTCATGAGAGGCGCACTTTCGATTCTATAACCCACGCGCCTGATTGCTCTCCAGGTCCTTCTCAATGGGCACACTCCCCTCCCCATCACTTGTCCACCGGCCCCCCTCCGTTGCACTTCCAATGGAAGTCTCTCTTTCAGTCGTCATCGCTGCAGCTCCTCCTTTCCCGGGACCTTTACGCTCTTCAGTTTCTCCCCTTTCTGTATACAATCTCTGAAGTGACCTCGATTGTAGACATCAGGTGGGTCAGCTCAGTAGGATTTTGGCTCTGCTTGAGTGTTCAGCTCAGAAAGTAGGTGCAGTTTGAGAGTCACTAGCTGCAGACTCCACCAGTGCGCTCCACATTGCAGCCTTCGTGGGCAGTTCTTTGTTCCGCAACAACCTACTCCAGGTGTTGCAATCTGGCCCTCCGTTTGTTTTTGTTTCTGTTGAATATCAGATTCGCGCTCCCGGCCTGTGCGCCAGTTCAGGCAGTGGTTCACAACCCCAGCTTAGCTGCTTTTCCAGAACTCTGCTTCGCCGGACGCCTCGACACTAGATGAGCGCATTGATTAGACATCAACGAGTACAATGTACCTATACACTGTACAGTAAACATATATCCCGGATTGCGGGGAGTGTGCTGGCTGCATTCAATGCAGGGGCGTTTGGAGCAGTCCCAGTCTCAGTCCTTTCTTCTATCGCCAAAGTGTCTTGATTCAGAATGAGTACAGCTGGAAGCAAGACACTCAACACGAGATCCTGCCACGATCTTCCACTCTGAAGAATCGAGTATAATAGAAGCCTCAGAAGTACCTATGTGAAAAGGGTGTGAACACCAAAGCCTAAGGAAGAGACCTGGGGGAGTGCACGCTACAGGTCACTGCCACCTGGCACCGCATTAGCGCTCGATGTCACGGTGTTGCAAATTTATCGACGGTGACGGTTGACCGTGACTGTCGTTCGTGCGGCAGCGCCCGGGGGACATGTAGGATAGGTACTGGCAACCTTCGCTTGTGAATGAAGAGTCGCTTGAACTTAGATCTGAGTACCCCGGGCACACAAACTATAAAACCTAACCCAAACATTTACGCGCTCCGCACCCGAACCCACCCTAACCACCAAAACCAACCCCACCCGTCCCCCGGGCGCCTAGTTTCCGTCAGTTCAAGCGAACGTGGCCAAACTAGGTATAGTTATACTTGGGATAGTT